TAGTACATTCGAATGACGGAGCCTTAGGAACAGCATTACTATCAGCGCAGGCCCCTTTGTTTATTCAAGTTTATGCTTTCCACAGATTGAGGGAAGCGTTTGCTTGTGGACATGAGCCATAGCCTGAGGTTCGCATCCTTGGAGGATTTACAGCAGCTTCTGGATGCAGACTTTCCAGCTCAATAGCCAAAAAAAGGCGCTCGCTCCCTTCGATGCATGATCACAGAAAGTGATAAACGAATATATATATATATATATATATGCTTACGCCCCCCCCCATGATCCATACTATGCTTGCTTTTCGTAAGCAGTGGATCATGGAAGGTAGGCAGCTTCGGATGCTTAAAGACTGCCAGGCTCGAAAATCCCCAAAATTCCTGAAGCCTGAAGTGCGAAAACACTGACAGGGATCAAAAATCCCCAAAATCCCCAAAATGTGAGAGACTATGGCCCCGCACTCCGCGTAGTTACAAGGATTTTGGGAATTTTGGGGATTTTTGATCCCTGCCAGTGTTTTCGCATTTCAGGCTTTACAAATTTTGGTGATTTTCGAGCCTGGCGGCATTTCGTCAAGGTCGGATGCTAAAACACTGCCAGGCTCGAAAATCCCCAAAATTCCTGAAGCCTGAAGTGCGAAAACACTGGCAGGGATCAAAAATCCCCAAAATCCCCAAAATGTGAGAGACTATGGCCCCGCACTCCGCATAGTTGCCAGGATTTTGGGAATTTTGGGGATTTTTGATCCCTGCCAGTGTTTTCGCATGTCAGGCTTTACAAATTTTGGGGATTTTCGATCCTGGCGGCATTTCGTCAACGTCGGATGCTAAAACATTGCCAGGCTCGAAAATCCCCAAAGTTTTGCAAAACTAAACACCCATGGCCCCATAGATGCCACGATTTTGGGAATTTTGGGGATTTTTGATCCCTGCCGATGTTTTCGCATTTCAGGCTTTACAAATTTGGGGGATTTTCGAGCCAGGCGGCATTTGCTAACCTTGGATGCTGTGTTCCTATTATGTCGTAGTTTGTCACGTGTATACACATGGCATATGCTTTGTTTTAATGCCATGTCAAGGTGCGGTATGTTCCACGACATATCCGTTGCAGTTCTCTCCCGAGTGAAAGTCATCGTGTGTGTCCCTCTTTTCCTCTTTTCCAGCATGATCCGCGACGGAGGTGGCATGTCCTTGCAAGATGCTCTCGATGCCACCAATTCCTTGAGATATTGTATCAAAGCACACCACACCCGACGACAATCTGTAAAGTAAAACATTTGCAGTAGATATACAACATATACTTTGACATGCCATGTACTGAGGACTCATTCACCAGACGCGCGGCACATGAGTTACGTTAAAATTTTTGTGGAAGTATCGATATTAGGATGAGTACTGTTCTTAATAATATTAGTACTAGTGTTTGCTGTAATAGTATACATGTCAGTATTAGTAAATATAAATTAGTGTCAGTGCTCATGCTCGTGTTAGAGTTAGCGCTAGTGCCAGTGTCAATGTCAGTAATACAGCACCACTGCTAGTATCAGTGTCAGTCTTAATGTTGGGTTTAATCGCAGCTTATATTCGCAGAAGTGCTAGTATTAGTATCAATACTAGAACTAGTTTTGATATGTTACTACATTGATGGTTTCGTATAGTAGCAGACTAGTATATCAATATATTATTAATGCATTCGAACAGTAACATATTTGTATACTTGTATACTTGTATATTTGATATGTTAGTACAACTGGTGCACGAGTACACTAGTATATTGGTGTATTAGTTTACTAGTATGTGTGCTATATTCATGTATTGTCTAGTCATATTTACAAGTATATCAGTATGTTGGCATATTAGTCTACTAATTTGTCATGTCGGTATACTTGCATGTTGCAGTAGTCGTAGATTAGCATACTCGCATATTAGTATAGTATATTCATACATTAACGTGAAGTATATTATTGCATTGGTATATGGGTATATGTTTATGCCAAAACATTAGTACATGAATGCACTAATGTATATATCTGTATCTTAAGATAGTGGTATGCATTTTTATGTACATTAGTACATGCAGGTGTCTATTAGTAGAGAGATTAGTATTCATATCAATACGAACATACTATTGGTATCCGTAGGAGTATTAATGTTGATATTAGAATTAAGACTATTCATAGTCGTATTAGCCATAATATAAGTGTTCATGCTGGTAATAGTACTGGCGTTCATGAATATTCAACAGATTATCAATATCCGTGTCAGTGTTGGTGATAGCATTATTGTTAACACCACAAGAGTTTATGTACTCGTACTCGTAGGGGTATCAATACTATTGCAAATATTGATGTTAGCATAAATATCGTGATAAGTATTAGTAGTAGTATTATCGTTAGTACTATAATATTGTGAACACACTTGAAGTATGTGTCACGCTTTCCAGGCAATCAGCCAATGACCAGGAAGATTCGAAGCTGCCAGTTTGAGTATTGGCATCGGCACCAAAACATGGCGACAGTGACAGGATACATGTTGAAGTTTTTGCACAACCAACGGTGATGCCTCCTGAAACATGGAGTGCCAGGTTTTTGGATGGAAGAGCGGAGCCCGAAAGTGAAATCAGAATCCGTTTCGGGTTTCGTGGGGATATAGCATGTGAGAACAAATTACAACATGTAGAGCTAAGTAGATGCTAGGTGCAGAAAATACCGCAAATACCGATGTTTTTGTATGTAGGTGAAGTCATGTAGAAATCGAAGCATGAGCAGCAGGAGGTAGAAAAAACCATGGTATGGATCATGGGGGGGGGCGTGACCATATATATATATACATATATATATATATATATATTTATCAGCCCTCAAGAGTAATGAAGCAGATGGTTTCTATTGACCACATGCGTCATGGTACGCTTCGTAATCGTACATAGGGAACGGTTTAGGGGACGCTTCCGGGGTACATCGGGGACGCTTCGAGGGTACATAGGGGACGGCTCGAGGGTACATAGGGGACGCTTCGAGGGTACATATAGGGGACGCTTCGCGGGTACCTGTACCATCGGACCGTGCCCTATGTACCATCGTACCGTACCACATTTAGCATGACATGGACCCCATTTAGCATGATATATGTTATGCTTATTGGGGTCCATGTCACGCTAAAGGGTACGGTACGATGGTACATAGGGTACGGTACATGGTACGGTACAGTGGTACACATGTCATGCGTACCGTACCCGTTGTACCGTCCCATGCGTACCCCTTGTACCGTACCATGCGTACCCCTTGTACCGTACCATGCGTGCCTCATGTACCGTACCATCGTCCTGGGTCCTGGCATATGCAATAGAGCATTACTCTTGAAGTTAGATATATATATATATATATAAATATATATCGTGCCTGCCCGCATGTGTGCCCACAGCGGGTACTTCCTTTGCACTGCCCACTTTGCATTCTGGAATGTCGACGTGACATGTTCAAAATGATCCCGGCAGCATACAGAACACATCAAGGACATAGATTGGTCCAAGTTTTCACCTTTTTGTCTGGTACATCATTTCGTGCAAGTTCAATTGAATTCTTCGAGAACTTGGCCGATGTTTACAGCTGCTTAGCTTGCCTCGGGGCGTCGGTATCTACAGCGACGTCGCCGGACATGCTCAGTTCATTACAGTTACAGTCACTAGCCCGAAGCCCCAACAACCTCGAGCCCCGCCTTGGCAAAAGAGCGGCGAACTTTATGACGATTAAGCTCTGGAGCTTCTAAACACTGCACCCGAAAAGAATCAGGGGTGAGACCTCTTCTGGAAACCTCTGCGCTGGCCCCACACTGCAGAGTTCCTACGTAGATCCTGAACGCCAATCACTAAACCCCAGGCAGATGGAAAAGGGCTAAACAAACACAATCGCGTACAAGAGGCTCTATACAGGGTTGGTGATAACTGCGGTTCGATGATCTTAAACACTAGCGCCGATCAAGACCACCCTATGTCATGTAGCCGAGGCTTTTACATCGCCCCAGGATCGATGGCGATCGACGCCGCTGCAGGCCCACCTGCCCAGCAGTAGTCGGTTTAGGGTTGCCCAGAAGTGTTCGCATGTAGAATCGATAGATGGACCGGATGAACGCCGCTTTGCCACATCTATCTTCGCCGCATGTGGCCATCTGTCGATGATTGTCTGGAACTTGCGACCCATCCATCCACATACCTTCCGTCGTTCGCCTTTCTGATGCTCTCTCTCTCTCTCTCTCTCTTTGTCTCTCTCTCTCTCTCTCTCTCTCTCTCTCTCTTTCTCTATCTCGCCCTCCCTCCCCCCTCTGCCCATCTGACGGCGTCGATGCCTCTGTGTGGTGTGCATGTGTGTCTTGGTATGTTCAAGCCTGTGAATGAACACTTGTACCACATGTGCACGCAGGTAGGTGGAGTCTCTGAGGTTTTGGCTTGTCACAGCTAGTCAACACTGTGATGTTTGTTGACGTCGATCTTTTTGCTTGCACAAGGCTTGCCTGTTTTCTCACTGTGCTGGTCTTGTCTGTCGCTACAAAATGGCTGGCGTAGTTATGCGATGCTTCAGCTCCTCAGAGCTGGTTAGCCACGACCTTGTTCCGCAGTTGATTAAACTTGCTGTTCCTTGTGGCTGAGATAGCTATAGTGGGTAATGCAACAGAAAGCTAGAAAGAAGTGTCAAGCACATTGAAACCCGAAGTGTTGTGGTTGATTGGCAAACACGGGTGGCAGTAGCAACCACCATCAGTGTTGCAGAAGGCGCTGCAGTGGTAGTGCTTGTGGAGGTGGTGGTAGCCGGAGTGGTGTGCTAGCGGCCGTGGCAGCCATGTACGACGACGACAATTGATCCTGCTCCTGTTCCTGCACACGACTCCTCCTCGTCCTCCTCCTGCTGCGACTGCGACGACGACGACGACCGCTACTGCTAGTACTAACAGTGTACGTACTCACGTACTCTACTTCGCAAGGCATGCACAGTCAACAGATCTACCTCAATGCTGCGACCCGAGGATGCCGTGCGTGCCGGACACATCGACTGCGTGCGCCTGTTGGCCTTCGCCGGCGCTTCACTAGGCGGGTCTGTCTTTATAACCGTCCTGTAACCCCTCCTGCACGTAATTCGAAAATGTTGTCCCTTATTGCCTCTGCTGAATATGAATCGGAGGGGCGGTCACCCCATAAAGATTCGGAAAGAGCATGCTTTTGTTACCTATAGGGTGTATTTTTTGCTCTATACTGTGACTTTGAAGGATCTTGGCTCCTGCGCCGCGCTGGCTTTTGCCTCTCTTGCCTTTGCGCTTGCTCTTGCTTTTGTTGTTGCTCCTGCTCTTGTTCTTGCTCCTGCTCTTGCTGTTGCTCCTCCTGTTGCTCTTGCTCCTTCTTTTGTTTCTGCTTTTGCTCTTGCTCTGCTTTTGCTTTTCCTCCTGCTCTTGCTCCGGACCGCCCTAATGCAAATTAGGTTTTAAAGGGGGATGATTTTGTGAGGGTTGGCCCCACAACTGTTGTTTAGCATAGCGGAATTTTCTCCCTGCAATCCTTGTGTGGCGTGTAGCTACTGACTGACATGACAAAGTCAGCAAGCCCTTGATCTGACAACAACTGCACAGAAAGGGTGGCAGCCTCTCCAAACTCAAAGGACCCGGACCCTGCAGAGCCTATTTTGTTTAGCGTACCTCACCCTTCGTAACAGTCACGTACCAAAATACATACTCGTCCGTGTCGGGTCCAGGCCGGCGTCGATTTAGCAGTTAAGGGTTCGGGTGTTGCAAGGAGACAGCGCAACCGACGAGGATCGCGCCAAGCTCCAGCAGACTTTCGGGGAGGACCCACGTCTTGTAGAATAACCTACCTTTTAGGGTTCCTTATTATGATTTCCCTAAACCCTAAACCCTAAACCCTAAAATATAAGTCCTGAGGAGGGTAAGTTTACCTTAAGGAGTGTGCCTTTGTGAAATTTGGTTTTTGGAAGCTCGGGCCCGAAGTCGGAGGGACGCGGGCCGCCTGGCGTTTTTTCCCTGCGATCAGTCTTAACCATACCCTAAGGCTCCATAGTAGTTCCTTTTTAAGGGTTCATATGTAGAATCCTATAAGGCCTATAAGGTAACCCCAAAAAGGAACTACTTTGGAGCCTGTGGGTACTTGCTGCGATCAGTTTGTTGAAATCTCCAAGCCCTGCCGTGTCTGGAAACTGTCAATGAGTCTGCAAGTACTGATCAGTTCCGATTTCTAGGTTTTCTAAATGGAGAAGCCCGGCAAGTGAGCGGTCAAAGCCTAACAAAAATCGCAGACAGCACGACATGTGCATCCGTACCGCTATTGACAAAGCCCACCGACCACGGGAGTTTCCGAAAATGAGGGGTACCTTATTTTGGGCTCCTTATAATAAGGATCCTCGTATTTAGGGTCCTATATTGGGGTCCCCATTTTCGGAAACTCCCATGTAGGGCAGTTGTCTCACTCAGGACTTCTCCTCACCGGAGACCTGGGGCGAAGTTCAGAAATTCCAACGTGCCTGTGCTGAACCAGAACTCAGAGGGTCCAAGTACTCCCTATTATAGGACTTTAGGGCCTTTAGGTACCAAAAGCCATAAATAGGAACTACTTGGACCCTTAGGGGAACGAGTTGAGCACAGGGGTTTGAACAAGTAGTAGTATCTCCTGATTGTCCCAGAAACTTAGGGGTACCCCACGCCGTTCTCACTGTTGGGGCCCTGCATCAGATGGCGTCTGTATTCAGAGACGTTGTTGCTCCAGATCGGTCGTACACCGCGCAACATGTCGTTGTTCATTCCGGCTCGGTTATCCCTTGGGGGCTGTTTTAGATAGTGGTCTGGTTTGAGGATCCTAATGAGAGTATCGTTGTGGTTCCAGAGTAATTGTTCGGGATACCAACCTCCATTCTGACCGCTAAATGCTCCATGTGTGCAGCTTTGCTTCTCCAAGCTGGCTGGAGTTGTGTTGCTGAGCCCTGCCCGAAATCCTGGAGAGCTGCTTGCAGGCCGCATGAATGACCTGCAGCAGCGTGTCGCGCGGCTTCTGATCTCTGTGGCCAAGGGGCGAGCCAGGCAGCCTGGGGATATTATGAAGGTGAATCATAACGGTTGAAAGATGTTGAAAGTTGAAAGGTTTGTATTATGTGTTGGGCTGCTTAGGAATACGGATGAACACTGGAGTGCAGGTTTGGAGCATTGTCTTCGGGTCTACATGCCTGCTAGGCTGAGATCGAAACCGCAGCAAGACCCTGTGTCCCTCAACGCGCCGAGAAAGCTGCACGAGGAATGTCCCAGAATATCAAGCATACTTTAGAAGGTGCCCCCACCCTTTCTAAAGCATACTTAAACTCCCGGAACCCCGACCCTGAAACCCCAAGACCATCAACCCACAGAGCTCCCAAGCCCTAAAAGGAAAACTTGCACCTTGGTCGTCAAAACGAAGGAGACTGCAGCAAAACAGGCAACACGAAAAACTGAAACCTGAAAAAAGAAATCTATGATCCCAAACGCTGCCAACCGCCTGCTTGTGTGAGGAAGCTTTCTGAAGAAGATGCAAGACAAGCTAAGACAAATAAAAGCCCAAATAAGCCCTAAGCCCGATACCACCAGAACCCGAACACCCACAAGCCCCCTTTCGTGACCGAGTTTCAAGTCATTCAATACCTGGAAGAGAGGTCTGAACAATCAGTCGGGTTTGGGGTTTAGGGCCGAAGGCTTAAGGTTCGTTTTTGTTTTTAACTTCGCTTGCAGTCCTATTACAGTTGTGCACTTCGAAGCGCTCTTCCACATCCCGACGCTACAGTCGCCCTGAAAGGATCCCTTACAGGTCCCCTATTCTAGTTATTTGGGCCTTTCTCTACCGTAGAACCCTTCTACTTGCCCTTGTTGTAGGGCTCCTTATACTATAGACCCCTTGCTTAAGAAACCCTCAAAGGGATCCTATCGTAATGTAATTGCCAGGGTCTTGTATTGAATCCAGAGTTCATTTTTCAGGCCGGAAGTCTTCGATGCGGAAGCGAGCACGAAGTTTAACAGACAGCTCATTTGTGCACCTGGTCTATAGAGGCTCTGGGGTTCACGGGGTTGAGAGGTATGGGGTTCAGGGGCTTGGGGTTTGTCCTCTTTGGGGTTCGGGGCCTAAGCTTACGGTTGTGGGGGTCGATAGAGAGCAGTTTTTGGCGTAAGGGTCGGGGGTTGGAGGGGATCGGCATCGGCACAAGGCCTGAACTCCAGGCCGCACAACGTTCCGGCTCAGGATGCATATCTTGAGCTTTGGAAATTCTGCCACACTTCTGAAACAAGCGGCTGCAATGCGAAACAGGGCTGTCCCACGGGGAGAGTTCAAGGGGACCCATGTTGCTTTAGATCGTGCAAACAGTAGAACCCCAAACCCTTTTCCAATATCGAGGCCCCTGCATGAACTTCGTCCTCAACTGCAGACAGATCTAGGCGTCCCCCTCGACCGACACCTTTACTTGTTGGCCCAAAACCCAACTTTTTTGACCTTTCGGCATCTTGTGATTTTGAATGTGCAACCCATGGGCATGTGGGAAGTAAGTTTAAGCCTGAAGTCACACCTAAACCGGAACCCTGTCGCGCAAAGCTGCGCAAAGCCCCAAATCCTATGTTTCACTTTTCGGTCGGAGCAGTCGCCCGTTTAGGACCCGGCTGGATCGCAGCAGCTTAGGCGATCTTCAAGCAATGTCCACAGCTGGCGGATGGAATGCTTTCTTTTACGAAGATGTTCCAGACTCTGGAGGCATCCCAGGGACGGCTTTCAGGAGCTCATAGGGTTCATGGTTGTGTAGACTGGCCATTCTGGCACTCGGCTGTGTCGAATTGCTGTCGGGCGTTTGCCTTCGCTGAGTCTGCCTCATGAAGCTATATATGGGATCACTCTTGCTCTCTTTCTCTCTCTCTCTCTCTCTCTGTCTCTCTCTCTCTCTCTCTCTCTCTGTCTCTCTCTCTCTCTCTCTCTCCCTCCCTCTCCCGCTCTCTGTCTCGCTCTCTCGCTCTCTCTCACTCCCTGGCTCTTTCGTGCCCTCGCTGGATCTATCCATCCATCCATCCATCCATCCCCCCAACGATGTATCCGTTCAAGTACTTATGTATCTGTCTATCTACAGGTTGGATACCGGTCCATATATACCGCAATGATGTAGACCTGGTGTGGAGTGTAGACATTGTCGCCATCTCACCGATTGGTAAGGACTTTCCCGAACCCCGGCAGTCGCCGCGAAGCCGAAGAAGAGGAGGAGCAAGATAATACAGGGGCCCAAATAATTATCGATACATGTTGGGGGTTCGTTATTAAAATTTTAGTAGGACGGGCCCCAAAACCCTATTCAATTTACGTAGTAAGGCCCACATATTACGCTTCGCGGCTACTGTTGCTGCTGCTTCTGCTCACACAACCAAGACGAATTCAACCAAGGCGGTAATTGCTGTTGGTGGTGATGGTGATGGTGGTGATAAGTAAGACCACACAAGCAGTGTAGCGGCGTAATCGTCTCCTTGGAAGAACCGCAGTACTCAGAAACACTACTGAACCAGTCACTTTGTCCTGGAGAAGACTTCAAGAACAAGAACTCGGAACAGTATGAACTATGAACTCATGCACACTGCCAACACTCACACACTTTGGAAAAGCCGGGAGAGCCACCACCATTCCCAAGACCATGATCATTACTAGTTGTCGTAGCCTTGCATGATTGCGAGTAATCAATATAGTCTAACCTATCCAGCGAAGTTGGCTCAATATCAGCAGCAACGAAACCTTGTGGAAGAAAGATCTCGGGCCTCGGCAGTGGCTTGCAGACAGGGGCTAAGCATCAAGCCTGGCCAGGCAAACGCTGTGGCGCCGATGCAGACCTTCCTGGCGTTCCTCCAGGACGGATCATCCAGTCTATGCAGCCGGTTTAAGCATGGCATCACTGCTAACCGCAGTACTGCACAGAAACTGCGCGATCTTGGCATCTCACCCGGCAATTCGAATCCGACGACCTTCGTCACGCCGAATGAATACGCACGTAGGCATCCTTCAAACAAGCACGGAATATTGCCAGTTGCCTTGTTGCGACAATGAAAAGCCAACCAGCCTTCCATCACATCGCAGGATTCGTAAACCCTTGTCAGCTTCGAAACCCTAAGCCCTCCTCCTTTTAACCGAGGATTCCATCGATTGCATGCGCCACAGCCGTTGGTGGACTTGGTACGGCAAGCAGCATCCTGGCTAAGAGCCTCCGAGGGTCTAGTCCCGGGTCCGAGTGACGAAGGTGAGAGTAGCGTTTGGGGTTTGGCCGATTAGACTTGATGGTAATCTGAACGTGTACCCTAAACCGACGGCTTGGGGGGGTTTAGGGGGTCACGAAGCAGATGCGGTTGATGACGGATGCGAAAGCTGGCTCCGCAGTGCCGCGTGCTGCAACTCCGGGCGAAGTGGCAAGCCTGTTGCAAAAAGAATCGGGGTCACGAAGCCATGGCATCGGGCTCCATTCAATTTCGATATTGGCTTGTTCAGGTTTGAGTGGAGGCATGGAATTCTGAAGAGCACACCCGCGAAAGCGTGTCTCTGTTTTGCGGCGTGTGTCCTGGGATGACGGATGTCGGCTTTGGGGTGCTTGGTAACGGAACTTTGAAGCCTCCCAGCTCCTCAGTTCTACCAAACCATGCATAGAAATGGCTAGATGTGCTAATTGCCATTCCTCCCTAGTGCCTTTCCCGCCATGTGAACTCCTGGTAGACTCTCCTCTGATCGCCGAGTCTCGTTTTCCAAATCCCAGGAACCAAAAGGAAGAGCGGTCGGAGCGACATCACAAAAAAGGCAGGGAAGCAAAGGTGGAGAAGTCGACTGGAATGATCACGAAGCTTCGGCGACATTCATCTCTTGGCTTAGGGTTGAGAACCCTTCCGCCTCTATGCCCCACGTTTCATACTGCAGGGTGTCCGTGCTTCGACCTTGAGGCTTCTCAGTGTGGGGGTTTTTTGGAGTAAAGTAAAGGTTGCCAGGGGACTATATGAATTACTATTCTTCTTATTACCACTATACTACCAATAACAAGAAGTATTCTTATTTCTGATTATTGTATACTACTATTATAATAGGTCATTTGGCAACAAGTGTCTCAGCTGTCTCAGGTCTGGATGAAGATGCTGCATAGTCAAGAATAACCAGAGTATTCAGAGTAGTAGTGACAGTAAATGTAGCAATACTAGTAAGTAATTGTATGGGTGGTTGTCAAAATTATGGTCCCTTTTTGGGTCCTTATTATACTACGGCACCTAATATTTACTGTACCCAGAAAAGGACCATAATTTTGACAACTACCCATATCGTAATAACAGCTTTGCTTGTGTGCAGCCCTGACCCCGCATGCGTAGAAACGAGGAGAGCCTTGAGTGGTTCCGCTTAGAAGCATGCAGTTGCTTTCCTGAGTTCTTGTTAATGAGTTTAGTTTAAGTTACCATATATAATAAAGAAGCCATATGATTTACTATAGATCCTGATTATGGTAACTTAAACTAAAGTCTTTAACGAGAACCCAGCTTCTATCGATCCCGTGAGCTCTGCTTGCATGTAGAAAGCTGCGAAACTCGTGGTCGGGGCATGCGCGTCTCAACGCACGGGCCGGCTGGATTTTGCAAGCAACCTGCCTCAGATACCTTCATCCTGACTTCCCGTGTATTGCCATGCTAAGGAAGCTCATGGTGGCTGCGATGGGCATCTGCAACCAACTGGATTTTTGGCTGAATCTGGTAACTCACAAGCCCCAGCTGCCTCTACAATCCCTAGACACTCTAAACCCGAAATCCTGCATCGACGAGCTCGGCAGCTTCCGGAAAAATGTTCTTAGTTCGTATTAAACAGGCCATTGTCGTCATGAAGGCCGCGAAGGAAATCTACCAAAAGGCCGATGCAGCCGGGAGCTACGCGGGAAGGATCTCATATACTAGACCCTGTGGGATTATGGGAAGGCAGGGAATCACATATCCCAAAAGAGGAGGATCGACCCCCCAAGAAGACCCCGAGTAAGCCTGTTCCGCAAGCAGAGATCGCCTCGCGTTGGGCGCAGGTGTTCTGCCATGTTCGATGCGAAATGGGAGTTTGGGTACCTTATTCAGGGGTCCTTGTAATAAGGATCCTACTATTTAGGGCACTATATTAGGGTCCCCTATTTTCGGAATTCCCAAATGTGAACTGAGCTTGATGATAAGCTAAGAAGCTACAGTAGTCATGTCCTCGTGGTAGGAAAGCAATCCAAGCACTATGACAGGTCAACTGGGAGGTCAACACGCGGCGCATCACCAGCAAGGACTACCGACTTGATGAGGTGCCCTGCAGCCACGACTTGGTCGGCAGATTGCAGACATTTGAGCCTTCTAAACTAATCACTCTAAAGATGAACAGAGACCCATGGCGAAGCCTGTGACGTGAACCCACAGACTGGCAGAAGTTTCCAAATACCGAGAGACCTCCGCATCCAGGGTGCAGTGGTGCGACGAAGAGAGCGCCTGACTTCGGGCATGGACTCCGTGCACAAGTCCTCCGCATCTCGCAGGCCGGAGATGACACTCCCTTGCTAGAAAAAGGCCAGCTGTTTTATTTAGGGTTTAGGGTTTAGGGTTTTTGTCATCGTGGTGTCTCGTCATAGGCTTGCAGGTCTTGCTAGAAGGCTTGGCTCGAGCTCGGCAGAACCCCGCGGGCATCTTTTTGACTCCTTCGGCACTCATGGCACGCCGCATTCGAAGCCTGGCCATCTTGGCCCTGGTAGCAGGTGCATTGATGTGGTCTTCGAGCTTCGTGCTGCCAGGCCAAGGCCAAGTCAGTAGTCAGGGCCGACGTGAGGCCCTGCTTGGCCTGGCCGGTGCTGTTGGTGTTGGGTTGGCTTCAAAGCCGGCGCAAGCCTTCGAGGGAGCAGGCCAGTGGATGGGCTACTACGCTGACCCTCAGCACCCAATGTGTCCGCGAAAGATCGTCTACGAGTATGATCTCTACGAGAAGGCGCAGATGATGGTGGACGGAGGCGACGGCAACCCTGGGTGCGAGAAGAAGGTGCTCACCAGGTGGACGGCCAAGGTCGACTGGAAGGCAGGCTCAGATGAGATTACCATCGACTTCAGTAAGAAGGGCGGGCCCAGTGGTGTCGTCGGAAAGTGGGACACGGACGGGATTGTCTTCCCTGATGGCAACAAATGGAAGAAGATCATCTCATACAACACTGGCAACGGCCAGGGTATCTGAGCCTTTAGGTCTTTTGACTTCAAAGAAGCCAAAGACAGCAGCTCCTCGTTTTTTTAGTGCCATAGATGTAGACTTGTGGAGGTTAGGCTTGGAGAATGGGACAAAAACGGGCTGCAGAGGAGTGACAGCACATGAGTGCATCAGGAGCACAAGCGGCCTTTCTCAAGAAAGGGGGTACCTGCCATCCCTGCGATAAACAGTTATTTGAGTTTTGAAGCTTCCGTATTCCAAATGTGCTCACCATCATTGCAGTCGTGCATGTGTGTCTTATCTTACATTCAATCAGCATTGGTTTTGCAGGCCAAATCTGGGCCTCAATGTTTGATCTGCACTGGCTTCTCTAAGGCTACGCCATATTCGGGATCTCTTCGTCAGATTGGAAAGGGGCCCTGCACAAGCATCCCTACGAAAGAGATTTGGTGCTGAATTCCCCTTATGAGGAACCCATAGAAAACAGTACTTGCATAAAGGGGACTCTTCAGACGAGCATCCTTAAGCCGAAAATGTGAACTTTGCCATGCTACGCCTTGACAAGAATCCCCATGTGACGATCGCTTCCCCTTGATACCCGACAGTATATACCAAAAGCTTTAAACCGCAAACCCCACCGCGAGGCAACAGCTGAAGCTACTTCCCACCCTAAACCCTCAACCCTAAGTCATGCCCGAGTGCGAGCGCCGAAACGCCGCGCCTGCCCAGTGCGAGTGTGAGAGTCGAAACCCCAAACCCCTTTCCGAAAGTTAGTGATACCTAATTTTGGGGTCCCTTTTAAGAAGGATCCGAGTATTTAGGGTACTATATTGGGGTTCCCTGTTTTCGGAGAGGTCGGCGGCCCCAAGCGCCGGGCAGCAACGGGGCCAGGGTCGCCGGGGATCTATCTCGCAGGGCTCCATGAGTCCCAGCCAACGAGACGCTTGGAATGAGTTTGAGGCTTAAAGGGCTATTAAGGGTACTATTTATATATGAGAGACAAGGTTCTAATTCTATAATACAGCTTTACTTTAAGGATACTATAATAGGGTTCCCTTTAGACTAGGGGTTTACAAGTGTTTGTTTGTAAGGCTTGTAAGGGTTTGTTTCTGTAAGGGCTACCCAGCCTTTGCAATGTTTTGTGTCCGTAAGGGTTTATACGGGTTTGTTTCCATGAGGGTTTAAAGGTTTTGTTTGCAGGGGGTGTATGCGTACGGGGTCAGGTAGGTGAGGGTGGTTTAGGGTTTAAGATTGGATCTGCCTCTGATGGGGTTCTATCCGGGGAATGTTTATACAGTCCCTGTCTTTTTTCATGGGTGTGTGTGTGTGTGTGTGTGGGGTTCTGCTCATGGCGTACTTGGTTTTGCAGGCTTCAAAGAAAGGGCATCAAGGGCCTTATATAGGATTCCATATTGTTTTCTTGCAGTAGAGTAGGGGGCCCACACATTCGTAGCTCTATCCCCTTAACTATCCTGTATGAGTATAAAGTATATTCTCGTGCTTGAGGCATTCAGCCTCTGGGCTGGGGCTACAGGGAAGGGCTTTAGGGTTTAGGGTTGAGGGTTTAGGGGTTTAGGGTTAGGGGTTTAGGGGTTCAGGGTTTAGGGTTTCCCTGGAGTTTAACGCATGTTCCGTCTTCGTGCGGATTACAGGGCTGAGGTTCCTAACGCCGTGTTGGCTGCCGCTTTCCTCCACTTGCATACGTGGTACTCCAGGCGTTGAGCGAGCAGAAAAGGATCGTCATAATAGCAGTAATAGTAATAATAATAATAGTAGCAATAATAGTAATAGTGATAGTAGTAATAATCATAGTAATAATAATAGTAGTAATGATAGTAATAATAATAGTAATAATAATAGTAATAATGATAGTAATAATAATAGTAATAATAATAGTAATAATGATAATACTAATAATAACGTGCAAAGCAATAGCACCCGCCACACCCGTTCGAGGCTCCCTCCGTGGCAGGCAGATCGCAGGGCAGCCGTCGCTCCAAAAAGGGGGAAGAGAATACCGAGGAAGGGATTCGGTTTAGGGTTTAGGGTTTAGGGTTTAGGGTGCAGCAGCTCCGGATCGAGCAGTTTTAAAGTAGTGTTGTGTCTAGGGTTTAGGAATAGCACCCACCCACCCTCAGAATCCCATAACATCAGGGCAATACAAAGTTTGTTCATTTTTAACTTAAATTGCTTTTACCGAATCTTAGCCCAATATCAACATCGTCCAGCACCTCAGAAGCCATCCACGCCACTTTTAAAACACCAAGGCCACTTTTAAAACATGTGTTGTTTTTACCAATGGATCGGTCAAGATCGCTATTTACAGAAAGAAAGCACTAACCGCAACAGCTGACTTTGCGGTCACGACATCGCTTCACGATAGCAACCACAGCTATTGAATTCGATTTCATGTCTTTCAACATTTCCACATCGGACTGCGTCCATTGCCATGCATCCACACTTTCAAGACAGAAAGCATTGCCACGAACAGTTGAGACTGCGGTCACGCCATCGCTTTACGATGGCAACCGCAGCCGTCAAGTTTCTTTGCGATGACCGTTCAAGGCAGCGCATTGAGCAACTGATCAAGAACGATTCGTCTTGGCCGTGGCACACTAGCAAGCACACCTTCGGCCGTGCATCTTGAAACAGCTGAGGCTGCGGTCACGCCATCGCTTTGCGACAGCAAGCACAGCTGTCAAGTTTCTTTGCGATGACCGTTCAGTCAAAGCTCTCGGCCATCAACAAAACAAGAGTGCGACAAGACTGCCAAAGACCTTTTGGCGCGCGCGCGTTGTTGGGAACCAGAGACTTCGCCTCCGGGGGTCGCGCGCGTCGTTGGGATCCAGAGACTTCGCCTCCGGGGGTCTCCGCAGTGATTGGATGCTCGGCCGCTTTTTACATGTCGCCAAGCTCTTCTTCGGCATGTCGCAAAAACACTTTTTTTTTTTTAAGATTCTAAGCATTCTCCAATGCTTCCACGATGACGGCTGTCGACGACAAAGAAGCTTGTGGTGCTACACATCATCACATGTGTACAACACCAATCTATATCGCTTGAAAAGAGCGTCAAGTAAAGAACTCTACATCATTTGAAGTTCTTCAACGGTTTACATACGTTCCGAATCGAAGTTACAGCCTTCCAAACAACAACCACGCAGAATCAAAACGACACCCTTCGCAGAATCAAGGCGACACCCTTCAGCGGAGCACTGTGTCACACCCCGCGGGCCCTCGACCGGACGAGCCTACCTCATTTGAGCTCTTCTGTCTGTTTGCGCCCCTCCCGAAGCCCGCCTGAAGATACCAAAATTTTGTGTTTGAAAGGGCCCGTGGGGTCAACGCAGAATCAACCTTACAACAGTTCATGGGGATACTGTAAACCCTACCCACCCTAGATCCTGCAGATCCTATTTGGAATAGTTGCTGGACCCTTGCTCGTGGCGCAAAATCCTGAAAAACCCTTGTTCGTGGCGCGGGAGGCGCCTCCCACGCCACGAACAAGGGTTTTTTGGAGAACGTGACATCCCGAAAACCTTTGTTCGTGGCGGGGGAGGCACGGTCGCGCCACGAACAAGGGTTTTTTGGAGAACGCGACATCCGGGAAAACCCTTGTTCGTGGCGCGGGAGGCGCGGTCGCGCCACGAACACGGGTTTTTTGCAGAACGTGACATCCCGAAAACCCTTGTTCGTGGCGCGGGAGGCGCGGTCGCGCCACGAACAAGGGGTTTTTGGAGAACGCGACATCCGGGAAAACCCTTGTTCGTGGCGCGGGAGGCGCGGTCGCGCCACGAACAAGGGTTTTTTGGAGAACCCCGCGCCACGAACAAGGGTTTTAAGGGTAAAAACCTTTGTGAAAACCCTTAGGTGCCACGAAGGTCATCAAGGTTTAAATATATATATATATATATATATATATATATATATATATATATATGATAAAGAGGTTTACTAGGGTTTATAGGGTTTAGGGTTTAGGATTCGGGTGGGAGCTTACGGTTTAGATGTATGTTGCTTGCTTCAGTTTGTAACGTTACAGGGCGGTGTTGGGCCGTAGGATTTATGCATTGAGCAGCGCATGTGTTGTGGCAAGGAGGACGGGAGTACTAGCAAATGCATTTTAGATTTCCGAACAGTTCGAAATATGGCCCCTGATCACCGCTACATAGTGCATAACATATTCGTAAATCCTATGTAAACCCAACTTGCCTTTCCAACTTGCCTATATATTTTCTGATTTCCTCTAGCGTTGCTTCTTGCTGTTGGTTGTACTTCTGTCCTGTAGTGTTCAAGTAGCAATCTCAGCAGACTTATCGCCTGAAGCCATGCCAGCCTTTGAGCGAGTCTGTGAGTCGGAAACCCTATTCTACTTATATCGACCCCGAAAAAAACGGCTTCAGAAATCTTAAGATGTCTGTCCCGTGTGGGTGCTTGCTCCCGTGGATGCCTCTAAGAATGGGCCGAGTCTAACAAGATCTTTGAGCTTGACGAGCACAATAAAGATAACAGTAACTCTAGTAAGATCAGAAACTTATAACAACAATAAAGATACCAGTAGTAACATAGCAGAAATAGTAACAGTAACAATAGAAGTAATGGTAATGGTCGACTGTTTGACTGTCCGGACTGTACAAGCACAGCCTGTGTCTTTGGAGCAGTAGCTTTTGACATGTGATAAGACAATCCTAGAGCTTAGGTCTTTAAACTTGGCGGATTAAAGTTATATGAAATAACAGAACGGATTGCAATATGAGCCCGTTTCCCTTGCCCTGCTTCATCGTCCAGGACCCGCGAGAGCCTGGCAACCATCCTCAGGTTTGTGAGATTTGTGTGGACGCTTGGCGATAAGATTCTGTACACAATGTAGTTCTAAACCCCAATCCCAAAGCCTTAAAGGGGCTAGGCATGAGCTGAGATGGGAACTCAACGAAAGTTGCCGACCTTACTAGTGGGAATCTCGAGTCCATGCAGCTTGTGGCCCTAACTTCTTTTGTTTTGTTTCCACCTGATGGACTCGACTGAACCGCTGTAGTGTACCGACTCGAACTAAGAACCTCGTCTGGCTTGTCCGAGTTGCGAGAGCGTAAACCTGGCAATGAGCCGAGGAGAGCATTTTTCGTGCCTTGGGCTGGGACGTAGACTGGACTGCGCCCGCGTCAGCCAACTACGGCCTCAATGCCGCTGGGCTTTTAAGGCTGTTGTTATCTTTTCTCTAGCTCGACCACCATAAGCCCTAAACCCCTAATTCTTGTCCGAGGCTGGTGCCATAAAGAAGAAGATGGAGGAGGTCGTGCCGGATTGCCATTTAGCGATTGTCTAGGTGTAGTGTGTTTGAGAATTGGGGTTGGTGGTGCAGGGTATGTAAATGTGCATACAGAAATGCTCAAGCACGACTCTGCGCATGGACAGGTTACATACCCAGATATCCACATGCATGCTGCGAGGATGCAAGGGCCAGGCAGTAATGTCCCTCTTTCTTCCTACGAATGAACAGTCTGCTTGTTTGACGACGTGAGGCTGGCTTGATGGCATTTGGCCTGCCTTCCCAGTTCGAGATTCATTCCTAGACATGCGATAGATGGACCGCCGATTCCATCATACATGCAATACTGTCACTTAACACTGGCATCTTGGAATTCACATCCCAGTATGACCAGAGTTTGGCGTTACGTCATTGGCTGCCAGAAGCGGGTGTGACATCTTTTGGCAAGCTGCATCGACTTCTGCAATGAGCACAGCTTATTGCCATCCATCTATGTTTTTATCCATGTGTTTGCAAATCTAGATCAAGATTCTGAGTCCAAATTGAACCGAAGCGAATCGAACCGGGTCTAGTCTAGTCTAGTCTACCGGACCTTGTTGTGCTTTATCCTTTAGTGTCCTGTTGTATCCTACTTGATGTTAACTTGTTGCATCTTATCTTCTTTACCTATGTATCTATCTACCTATGTGTCTACCTGCCTATCTTCTGCCTATCTGCCTACATACCTACTAGGTAGCTGTCTATCCGTTAGTTTTTGTGTAATTAAGCAACAATACCTGAGCTGTATAACGAATATTCTTTTAAATGTGATCACGTTGTGTATGTATGTGCGTATGCATGCATGCATGCATGTCTGTCTGTATGTATGCACGTATGTCTGTGTTTTCGTATGTATGTATGCATTAATGTTTGTATGATGGCTCCCTCCCTTCTGGGGTGGGGCCTGTGGTCTTTTTGGTTGGCTCCTCCAGGCCAGGGGGTGCTGTATGTCCTACAGGTTCTCCACTCTGTGAAGAAGCACTGCCAAATGTCATTCTCCATTGTCCTCCCTCCTTCTGGTTTGCGTGGGTTCGTTCCGGTTGTGTGGGACCGCTGGGAGGGGCCGGTGGTGGGTGTAGGGGCCCGGGAGACCATGTATGTATGTATATCACAAATGTATTTTTGTAAGTGTATTAATATATGTACTCATGTATATGGGCATATCTGTAGGTGTATGTCCGCATCTAGTCTACATGTATATATGTATATATGTATATATATATATATAGATGTAGAGGGTGATTGCCCTGTGTTTTTTTCTGCTTCGCTGGCTTCCTACAGGTGGCCGCGCTGCTGGAGCCTGCGCAGGGAGGTGCTGCCCATGAAGCTGGGTTCCTGTGAAGTAGCTACTTTAGAGTTACCATAGTAAGCTGTTACTACAGGGGTTCTAGAGAGTTTCCGGGTCAGGGGTCAAGGGGGCTTGGTTGAAGTTACCCTCAGAAGCACCTATATCTATATATATATATATACACATATATATATATGTATACAGACATACATACATACATACACATATACATATGTGTATACATGTACATATGTAAATAAGTGTATAAATATAAATATATATATATATATATATATATATATATATATATATGTGTGTGTGTGTGTGTGAGCACATATATGTCTATATACTATAATGAACTCATGAGTATACATGATATTAGATATTTGTGTATTTATGCATGTATACACATCTGCTATACCATAAGATCCCCTATATGTATACATAGGTTATGTATGTATATATATATATATATATATATATATTGAGTATCGATTTACTTGTCTGTTCGTTCGCTTATAGCTCCTCCACAATTACTCAGGAACTGACGGACTCGCTGCTGGAAATCCATGCGCCTCCCTTGGATGCAGGACGCTTCCAGAGATGGGTTTACGGTTTACAGGTTGTAGGGTTTGGGGTATATGGGGTTGCTGCAAGAGTAGAGGAGGGTTTGGCTGGTAAGTTTAGCTACAGGGTTCAGTGCTGTGGTAACGAGCTGTATAGAGCTTGAACCACAGCTCTGCACCTGTAACATCCAGATGTTTCGTTCCGTGAACTACAGACACTGACGGAGGTTTTGGAGCGTCGGCTTTGCACTTGGGGGGTATGCTGGCGTCGCAGGTTTGTAAAACAAGGATAAATGGTTGTTGGGGCGGGGTTTGCATTTTGGTTACAGACCTTATTTTTCCAGGTCGCCCTTCGTTTCATGATCGGAATAGAGGAAAGCAGACTAGATCCGAGCCTGCCCAAATTCAAATCCTCCCTAACCCTGTCTGCAGCTGCTTGGCGGGAAGAACGTCGTGCCCGATGCTGCGTGGCTTCTCGGGCCACATTGGATTGGCTGGCGAGCCCGGGTTGTTTGGTTGTTTTCAGCACAATGCATCTGAGGAGGTGAACTCCTAAGCCGGGTCGGGGCAAGAAAACACGTTGCATGTTCAGTCGCCGTTTTGCTTCGGTCGCTGGCTGCAGTCTCCGAAGCCAGGTCCCCGTTGTGCTATTTATGGTTTCAGGTGCAGTTTCAGGGTTTAAGCGCCCAGGACACGGCAAAGCTCTTCTGCGCCTTCGCAAAGGATGAGTACATGAAGCCGATGAGAAGCTCGGTTGGATTTCTCATATACTAAGCCCTTACTATGGAAGTTTGCGTTGCGTTTCTCTTCAAAATCTGCTTGAGCTTGCTTCTCAGCGCGCAAGCATTCGCAATGGCATGTTTGTTCGCTCGGATCGGCCAAAGACACCGGTTTAGGGTTTAGGGTCTTAGGGTTTAGTGTTTACGGTTTAGGGTTTTTTGGGGTTTAGGGTTTAGGGTTTTAGGGTTTAGGATTTAGGGACCAGCCAGCCAGGAGAGGTATTCAAGATCAAACGCATGTAGGCCATGCTCTAGCTCGGCTGCAGAAGCTGCCAACCAGGTTTATCTTCTATTCGCGATATTAGGGGCTTGTCAGTACTAGCAGAAGTCTGTCTGATCCTACCACGAGCGGCTCTCCTAGAGCTACTCGAGGGGCCAATACACAATCAATGTAGCCACGACTTCTTATCATACGGGTAAGGTAGCCGCTGATAAATTGCTCTGCACCTTAACGAAATCGAACTGAAAGCCGAAAGAACCACTGCCACTGTGCTTCACCACAACGAGCCACGCAAACATGTGAGATTGGCGCCGTCAATGTTGGCAGTTTTCATGTTGTACTAGATGAGGACACTAATAAAGCACATTGTTAAAGCAGGCTGAATCATGCGAAAGTGTTCGCTAGTACTTTAGTTGACTATACCTCGTGTATTGCAAAACAAACATGCCGACTGCCAACGGTAAGTACAGCTAGTGGCAATATTGACTGCACCGGCGGCCTGGCAATGCTTGTGCCTGAAACTCTCCCATAGGGGTTTGGGGATTCTGGCCGCACGAGCACTAGTCAAGCCTGTGGAAAAAGGGGTTTAGGGGCTGAGGTAGGGATGCTGCACATCGCATTTGGATGAAATGATTGTTGTCATTCTTGGATGCAGAACATTGCCATTGACCTCAGCACCGCGGTACTCGCATCGCTGCCAGTATATATAGCACTACGACCAGCCGCAGATTTTGGGAATGCTACTGAAGACCAGTGTGTTGCCAGCATAGTGACAAACCATGGTGGATGTCCACTGTACTAGAAATTTTTGTCCAGGAGAGTCCGGGTGTGAGTGTAGAGAAACTGCAACTCCTACTCCTTAAACCCTAAGTCCGGCGTCACTGAGAGCGTGCTGTAGTCACCCGACCTGCCAATCAAGAACCTCGTCTGGATGCGTCCGAGTTGCGAGAGCGTAAATCCGGACCCTCAACCCCTGAAGCCTTAGCTTCATCTTCTTGACCCCAGATCCCAACTTCCTCAACCCGAAGCTCTCTGCTGCAGGCTTTCCTTTGGCTTTGGAGCTGGCGATGTTTGCAGTACTTGCCGTGGTCCGCACTGCCCCGGTGCCACTTGTTTGCCGAGGGTTTCAAGGACACTGAGCCAGGTGTCGGTCTGGGGCACAGGATGTGGGAGTTTCCCAAAATAGGGCTACCTTATTTGGGGTCCTTATAGTAAGGGTCCTACTATTTAGGGTACGATATTAGGGTCCCCAATTATCGGAAACCCCTATGTCTGGCAATAATGTAGGGGTCCGAATGCTGTGTAGGAGCATGCCATGACTGTCCCATTGCAATTGGGCTTTCATATATCCGAGATTGATTTCAAACTATTAAGCTCCCTACATTATGGAGTCTAGCATATGGTTTTCGGGTTGGCAAAGCATGCCTCCCCTGGTTCGGGGCTTGAACTAGGATATGATGACACGTTGAACATGCATCAGCACATTCCGAATATCCTAATGAAGCCCGAATTCACAATAACAATAGATTTATCGGGGTTCGGGGTTCACCCATAAAACCTTGCAAAAGGCATTGAAAACACACGTGCTAGCTGAGGAACATGGACATCCAGCCGAGCCGTGAGAAGACGCTTCAGCGGACGGACACTGGCTTTGAGTAATCCTCTGGTCTGATCGAAAACGTTTTACGGCTGTGCATGGTGTGTACGTGCGATATACATGCATGTGTATACATATATATATATATATACATATATATATATATATATGTGTGTGTGTGTGTGTGTGTGTGTGTGTGTGTGTGTGTGTGTGTGTGTGTGTGTGTGTGTGCGGGTGCGTCTATGTATGTGTATATATATATATATATATATATTTATTTATTTATTTGTTTGTTTGTTTGTTTGTGCATGTATGACACACGATATACCCTTTAAGCAAAAATGTTGTAAACATTTATGCATATACATCCAATCTATTCATATGCATACGAGACACCACGTTTTCTATGTGAACACATAAGATGAAGGTGGAGGGTTTCCATGTCCTCAATTTACTGCGGCATGCACGATGGAAAGCTGCTGTGCATATATTATCTCGACCCTGGGTTGTCTACAACGGCGCAAGTGTTGGCATGTGCATGCTCCTTCATGCCATGTGTCGGTCATACATCTTAGTATCAGGACATGTACGTCGTATGCAGATGGACAGAAAGAGACGCAAACTAGAAACTTGAATACGTGCCAAAACTATTCCTTGTTCCTTTTGTAGTTACAAAGAATAATGTACCCCCTGCTCTAAGCCCTGGTCTCATCCTGTTGTGATCAACATTAAGACCCCTATATTGGAAGGTTGGCGGGAACCACAGGACTTGAAAGTGCAGCAAGTGATTGGCTAGGCCCTAGGCATGAGTGCTAGTATCTGTCGCACGCTGTGTCTAGTACTGTTCGTTCTGCGGTGCCACTTGCACAGTTAACCCGGCAACACCTCTGGAGGCCTGGCTGAAAAAAGGGAACGACAGGTAATGTTTAAAATTTGCTTGATTCCTTCTATATCTTGACAGGGCCCTAATTTTCCTATCGAAGGCCCCCAACTAGAACATGATGAAGCATCTACAAAAAGAACCCGAGATGCTGCTTACTTTTGCCCAAGGATTTCTTTTCAATTAGACCTACAAGACGTCCGCATATTTCTAGCTCCTACACCTAGAGCCCTGAACCGCATTGGACCTGAAACCCGCCTATGCGGCCAAAAAGGATTTCCTGTTTTTGCGGAGCGGCCTCGAGTTGGCGGAGCAGGAAGTGCGGGGTGACATCGCGAAGACCAGAAAGGAGGCGTTTAGGGTTCATTGTGGCATAGGTTTCAGCAAAGAAGGGTGTCAAGCATTCCATGCTCTCGCATGTAGGGATAGTAGGGACATTAGCTGTAACATTCAGGAAGATCACAAACTCAAACTCCCTGTTGCTACTGACCTCTGGGGTAGTACCGACAGTACTTGCCAATATCATGTCTTGAGAGCCCAAACTAGATGTAGTTCACAAGCACTAAAGGTGCATTGCAGGGCCGTGCGAGGCCGCTCAGGACCCCATATAGGCACACAGCACAGGAAGCTGCTATAACCTCAAGTCGCACAGACCATGAGATTTGAAAGGGTTGGCGGAAGCTTGGGCACCACGGCTTCTGAACCGTGGATCAAACTCACAGGTAGGTTCCACCTCCAACTGACCAGACAAAAAAAACCTCGCCTGGCATGTCCAAGGGTGAGCGCCGAAAAACCCACTCATAGCGCACAATGGAAACGAAAAGGTGATAAAGCAGCGCGAGATGGGCGGTAACGTGCGAACTTGGCTGCAATGCTCAAGCTTCAAGGATTCGGATGAAGGGTTCCTAAACCCTAAACCCTAAACCCTAAACCGATTTAGGATGTACGGTTTCGGACACTGCTTTGCAGCCTTTGGTCTGCTGGGCGGGCTGTTACAGATGGAGCGGACGTTCATCAGTGCGAACCAGCGGGTAAGTAGCAGGATTAGCAGTGCAAAACAGACGGCGGAGTAGTTGGGGCACAGTATCTGCAGCTCCATGTGGTCCAGGCTCTTAACCAGTATTATGGCGAAAGAGGTGTGTGTTTCCGGCTGTTCCCGGGCCTTCCAGACGAAATCCAACAATGCAATCAGGCCCACAGAAGACCCATTCAAAAGGCCACAGAATCGCATGTAACCACATGCCGCAGGTCCGGGAAGAAGGTCATGAACATTGGCGCCCGATTTGGCGGGAACCGTATTGAGCCTGCAGCTTGGCCGCAACGACGCTGCCTTGGGCCACGTCGCCGCCTCCTATGTGCAAGCACCCGCTTTCAGTAGCCGTGGTCCGGCGTTGTGCCGCTACCTCCTGACGATTGTGCTTGATGTCTACATAGGGGTTTCCGAAAATCGGGGTCCCCAATGTAATGCTTTAAATAGTAGGACACTTATTAAAAGGACCCCAAAATACGATACCCCTAATTCTCGGAAGCTCTAAGCCCTTATGGAGCCCTTTCAAGGAACCCTTATAGTACGCTTATAGTTACCCTTAAATGGAACCCGATTGTAACCTTTAAGGAACCCCAAGGTACCCCTTGTGGTTCAACCGCAGGGTGTCTGTGCGAGGTCAGTGTCGGAAGAATTCTGGCGACTCAGAGGGATCTCCCTGCCGATGACCTCTCCGCCATCATTGACATCCAGGCTTCGCGGTTTAGGGTTTATAAGGTTTAGGGTTTAGGGCTTATAAGGTTTAGGGTTTAGGGAATCCAGGCTCTAGCACAGTCCTAGCTGGCGGAAGAGCGGCAAACTACCAGGCGTCCTTGCAAGCAAGCCTGCAGCAAAAGGGAATCCAGGCTCTGAGTCAGAGAGAGAGAGAGAGGGCAATCCAGGCTTCGACCCAAGTTTGCAATACCCGGGGCCTTAACAATTACCATGCAATTACCCATATTGTTTGGGTGGGTTCTTTTTTCTACTGTAGTATAGTGGGCCCCAAATTCCAATTCTAATTATTAAGGCCTCTATAGTAGATCACTCAATTTCCTCTGCCGTCCGTATTCCCGGATCGACTGATCCAAGTCTGTGATTCGTTGGGATTCATGATGCTTTCACTGCCACCCCGGCTCCTGACCCTTGTTTTATGGCAAAGACTGGAACGTTCGTTCACAGGACGGCCACGTCCACGTCACAGCAAAGCTTGATGATGATGCTTGGGTCCGCAAGCTTGTGTTGCGTGTGCTGCTTCCATCTGTCCTGCAGTTGTCTATATCGGAGTAGATTGCCAGAGAGTTGTCGGTTGTCCAGAAGGTTTGTTGCATGTTATGTCACCAGAAGGTGTGTCGACATACCACCAGGCTTTCAGACACGCTGTTTCGAAATCGCAAGCCTCGTCCCTGCTTTAGCTTAAACTTCGCGGACCGGCTGAGGACGATAGTGATGACGAAGGCCGACGCCGCGCAGACAAGAAGATCACACGGCGCAAGGACAGCCCCAGTCTGGTTGCACTTAGCACCGACTTCTTGAGTGCTTCCTCTCGAGCCTCAACCTCAGCAACTCGTCGTCATGCGAACATGCACGAACCCTAGTTAATTACGTTCGATGTCCGGGGAGCCAGGATGATGTTCACATCCTGACACACGAGTCATGCTCGCCGGCCGCAATTGTGCCTGGGGGTCTTGAAAGTGTCATGATATGAGGAATGAGGAAGACTCCCGCATGCTTCGTACTCGCGACGGAGAGCACGAAAACGATTGAATCAGGAACCATTATTAGCCTTGGTTCGTTGCAGATACTTGCGTGGCCGGGTGGCAACGAAGAGGTATGCATCATGTCGAGATGAAAAGTTAACAAGTGCAAACAGGAGGTTCAAATGCTGTTATCTTCTGTTGTTGGGTGAGTCTGACCACTCCAATGTCAAGATGCATTGTTTTGTCGGTAATGCTGTTGCACTGATGCTTCTGTTTGTCATTGCTTTGGCCCACATGCTTGTCTCAGAGGGTGTAGATAGTGGAGGGACATGTTGTGGAGTGGCGGAGCATGAAAATGTGCCTGATGAGGCTGAAGCACAGAAACCCTACAACCCCAAATCGTAAAACCCTAACCCACAGTCGGCAACCCCTCTCTCAGCCAACACGGGCTTTCTAGACGCCAGCGAAGAGGGAAAGCAAGGTCAACAAAAGCACCGAAAATCCCCAAAGCCGCGCACCCTAAAGATATCAACCCAAAACCTCGAAATCCTTAACTCCTACACCCTACACAGTCCCGACACTAATCAACTCAGGTTTCGGCGTGATGAGCTCAGAGCGCTTTCAAGACAACCTCCTCCGCTACCTCTTGGACTTCTCCTCCTTGCAGGTTTGCGCTTGCTGGTTAAGCCGGTTTAGGGTTTTGGGTTTAGGGTTTAGGAGCTAATTAAGGAGCTAGGGGCTTTAATTTCGTGTTTCGGTTTTAGGGATTGCGGAACTGGATTGATCGAGTCTCTGACCTGTAGTCCCCGTCGTCCCTGTAGTTGTTATTTCGGTGTCTGGTCAAATGCTGGACAACCGCGCGGCTGACAGACCTCTGAGTCCGCAGGGCACATATAATTTATATATATATATATATATATGTATATACACAGACAGAGACAGAGAGAGATAGAGCGAGCGAGAGAGAGAGAGAGAGAGAGAGAGAGAGAGAGAGAGAGAGAGAGAGAGAGAGAGACAGAGACAGAGACAGAGACAGAGAAAGAGACAGATAGAGAGAGAGACAGAGACAGAGAGAGACAGAGAGAGAGACAGAGAGAGAGAGAGAGAGAGAGACGAGAGAGAGAGAGAGAGAGAGAGAGAGAGAGAGAGAGAGAGAGAGAGAGAGAGAGACAGAGAGAGAGAGAGAGAGAGAGACAGAGACAGAGACAGAGACAGAGAGACAGAGACAGAGACACAGAGACAGAGACAGAGACAGAGACAGAGAGAGAGAGACAGAGAGAGAGAGACAGAGAGAGAGAGACAGAGAGAGAGAGACAGAGAGAGAGAGACGGAGAGAGAGACAGAGAGAGAGACAGAGACAGAGACAGAGACAGAGACAGAGACAGAGACGGAGACAGAGACAGAGAGAGAGACAGAGACAGAGACAGAGACAGAGACAGAGAGAGAGAGAGAGAGACAGAGACAGAGACAGAGACAGAGACAGAGACAGAGACAGAGACAGAGACAGAAACAGAAACAGAAACAGAGACAGAGAGAGGGATTTAGTGAAGCAGATCATCAGTTCGCGGTGGACGTCGCCGGCCTTTCGTGACGGGGGGCTACAGGTGTAAGTTTGGCAGTGCTGCTTCCGAGGTGATCGGGTTTAATGGGATTGAAGGTTCATGAAGCCCTGAATCTTGATTTTGGGTGAAGCCTAGCGGCATGCGATCACTCACCGTGCAGCTGCCAGGATCAGGGTTTGTTTCAGCTCTCGATATTGACCAATGCTTATGTACGAAGCCGAGGAGACCTGTTTTCGTGGCGCATGCATCAAGCTGCTGTCTTTGTCGGTTTTCGTCTCCACCCGAAGCACCAGAATTCATGAATCTACTATATAAGATAAGCCCATAGTGGCCAAACACCAAGATCCTGACAAGCTGTTTCTTCCGAGTCTGAATTCCAGACCCAACACAGCCTGTGGGATGGACGACAGAGATCCTTCGTGAAAGTCACATGTCCGAAGGGAGCGGAAGTCACTGCCTTCTGACTCCGAAGAAAACCCTTATCTGGAATTTTCCCTAAACCGTAAACTCTGTAGTAGAGGTCTCAAAACGGGACCCTTTGCAGCCTCCGGTCGCAGGTGGATGCGATCGAGGAGGATGAGCGAAAAAGAGCTGTGCGGAAAGTTCCCATGGGAATGGAGTCGCCCGAGACTGAAGAGGCTTTTGGGGCTTTATAGGGTTCTCTGTAGATGCATTCCCCACACTGTGCACATGCAAGCATTGCGATGGGAAGCAACAAGTAGGTCCCAATGCATCAGACTCTGTGCAGTGCCCGCATGCCCAAATATAATTGCTCAGATGTGCGTTTTGGGGCCTAGGCCTGAAACCCACACCTGATGACCTGGCAGATCGGTTGGGTGAAGTTGAAAAAATGCGCCTTTGCTGGTGAAGGAGGATGATTTCTTCTATCAGAAGGAGACCTTAAGCTCCGGCGAGGCTTCTGCTGAAGTTTGCGCTTGCTGTGGGTTAGGGTTTAGAGTTGATTCTGGCTCATTTTCACATTATGCCAAATCGAGAGCTACATACTGGTATCTGTCGTGGCTTCTGTAAAACTGGTGTTCCCGTGCGGAACCCTCTGTATAGTGCTTAATAGGAGGCACATTTGTCATTCATGGGTCTTGGGTGCATTTTGATCGTTTTGTTTTCTCCGTTGGTTTGACTGTCTTTTACATGGGGCGGCCTCCGAGACAATTACATGTTTTGCATACCTTGCAATGGGAGTAGAGCGCACCGAAACGCAGCTCGTCGGTTCGAAGCTTTTGGGTTGAAGGGTGGATCTATAGAGTTCACGGGCTTTGTAGGGCCTTATCGGGTTTTATAGTGCTGCACGGATTATGTTTGAAGGTTTAGATTCAATTGGGTTCATTCCGTAGCTTCTAGGATTCTAGGGTTCTTGGTTTTCGCGTGTGGCTCCTTGTGCCAGATGGCACTAGATCCACTGCCCGCACAGAAATCCGTTCTTGCAAGATTCCTGAAGGTGGAAAGACTAAGACCCAAAACAACCCTTCTTCAGCACTCTGAAACCCATTCAAAAGTGCATAAGACCCTATCAAAACTGCATAGACCCACTTGAATCGAATTCGTCAACCTCTAACAGAGCCCTTATAAACCCGCCAGATCTTATGGCAACCCTATCAAAACACTGTGACGCTTGACAGACTAAACCCTAACCCTGAAACAACTACGTAAACCCTAGACCCTAAACCTTAAAACCCTAAATGTGAATGTTCTTGCGCTGCGCATGTCCACTAAGACAGTGGCAATCCATCATGACCCTACCAAACATAGGGCATGATAAGAATTCACAGGAGTATATAACTATTACCCTGCTTCGTCTGACGAGCCATGCAGGAGGCAAAAAAACCTTAAAACCCTAAAACCCTTACCCCCTAAAGCCTAAAACCCTAAATGTTTTGCTGTCATCAACGTATGACGGTTTGGGCCAGATGTGCCTGTCGTGGGACTTGAGAACCTCGCCAAGGCTTGTCCGAGTGTGAGTGCTGAAACCCTAAACCCTTTGAGCACCCGCAGGTGATCTGGCTTGACGAAGAGATCCTTCTGGATTTTGAAGAGATGGGATCCCAGGAGCGTTTAGGGTTTAGGGTTAAGGTTTGGGGTTTAGGGTTTCGAGCAGACAAAAGCGGCAGTACTTGGGGCTTAAGGTTTTGGGGTTGAGGCAGTGGCACACGTGAGAATCGACTTCAAATGACTTTTCACACCGATTCCGCACCTAAGAGCCTCGCCTACTGTGTCCGAGTTGTGAGAGCGTATCTTTGGGTTTAGGGATATAGTGTTTAATGTGTTAGGGGCTTAGGCTTAGGGTTATAAGGTTGATGCAGTTTTTAGGGTTCAGGGTGTGGGATTTGCAAGCAAAGGCCTGACTAGGATTCCTTCCGTCCGAAGCCTGTCAGTACGGATTCAAGAACACCCGCCATATTTGCTATATAGCTCGAACGAAATTACCTCAAAACCTATTCCAGCCGTCGAGGCCCCTACATTAACATGCCTGAGCGTAGGGATAGCATGCGGGTCTTACATGGGGTGGTCTGGGCACTCCCGGCAGCCAACTTGTTCCAGGAATCTGGGGATAGTTTGTGCTTTCCCCGTTCCTGGGCAAAGAACGCCAGGGTGTCGCATGCCCTGAACCCAACGGGCCCCTACGTACGTGTGTGTGTGTGTGTGTGTGTGTGTGTGTTGTTTGTGTGTGTGTACCTAAGCACACACCTCGGAAATGCAAACTTCGGGGAACACCATGGAGTTTTACTGGGACAGGAACCTTGAATTATCACCATAGTATACCTGCAATCGCCCAACCAAATGGCCGTCACCATGGTCACAACAATCGTAGTAGTCAGCAGCATTATAATCATGAGCCATAGTCAGCACGATTAAAATGCTCTCCAGTGCGATTAACTGCACACCCACCTGACAGAAATGCCGAGAGGTGTCGCCGAAACCAAATCTCCACAGAGCCGATGCACCCCTCACTAAGAAAGAAGTCCTCAGCCCCAACACTGCCAACTCCAAAACTGTGAACTCTGCAGGCCGTTGCGTCCGAAGCCAGCACTGGATCCATGACAAGCTACGAGCGTGCGCAACAAAATGCTGCCTGGAGACATCGGAAGCTGTTTTTGAGCCTAAGGGGTCCGAAGGCTTCTGTCACTCAGGGTGCCACAATATAGGCTTCCTTACTTGTAGACGCTTCCCGTACTGTCTTTATGTAGCAGACTTTGGGTTGCAAAGAAGATGCCGTCTCCCGTGTTGTTGGGCCCTCTTTGTTCGCACTGTTTCCAATGATGGTGGGCTCCGGTCTCCCATCAGTGCTGTTGCTGCTGAGGATGTGTGAGGTGCAGTTACATGAGCTTCTAGGAGCTTCTGGAAGCATGAACCATGTCAGGGATCTAGTGCTCACTCTCCTGCAATCTCCTGCACAGGTTGACATCCATCACCCTTTTGAATGCTTTTCTTTAGGGCTCCTGCTAGAATATGCTAAGCGCCAAGAGCCTTCTTCGAATTGTCTAGCAAGGTTGATAATCAGGTTCACAGTTTCAGGGCTTCTGGGGACTCAGCTTCAGCGTCTCGAGCTTCTCCTGGTCAATCGGGCTCAGAGTTGCTTTTTCAGTTAGTGCCATGGCAGCAGAATTTACTCCAAGACCCTATTGAAATTGTTAAGGCCTCTATCTGTTGCTAAGGTGAAAGCCTATGCTAAAGAAATCGCAATGCAGAAGATGCTCAAGTATGGCTACGCTAAGGGGTAATCAACGGGTTCGGCACAGGGGCCCTGGTGACAACCAAAATTGGGACGACAGCGGGGCATCTTTTCTCATTGCTGCCTAAGTGGGGCTTCTTCTTCGCCATGCTTGGGTGTCCGTAAAACATCTAAAGAACCCTGGCTTCCAGCTCCAATTCATGGTCTTCGAGTGGGTTTAGCCAGCTCTCGCAATCACTAAGGCATCTCCGGGGGACATCAAAAGATCACCGACATCGAACATGGGCCGGCGCACGCCGAAACGCGCAAATCTCAGCTTCGCACATAGCATTGCTGCGCTGGATTGTTGCTGCACCGGGTTTTGACTTTCAGCACCGCACTGATCGTGCTGTCTCAGGCGATGCTGGGGGTGATGCAACTTGGCTGGTTGTTCTGTGGGTCATGACAATCCCCGGTCAAGCGGGTGCTCGTAGGACCATCCAGTGCCACCAACATCGTTCATGAGCGCCATCAAAGTGCAGGTGCAGTCGCACTGGGGTAGTGGTTCATCAGGAGTCCAGAGACATGTGACTCACATTCTGGGCAACTCCCTGCTGTCCTCCTAAGGTCACTAGGGCGGCACTCCTGTCCTGTAGGTCAGCAGCACGGAAGTAAGGACAAGAAGAATGCATCGATTCTGAGCAGATGCTGCCAGTGGCTTCAGTCGCGGGCGGCTGTTTGTGGCGGGCATCGCAGCTGCATTCAGTGAGTTCCCTGATGAGTAGAAACATTGCTGTCAAGAGTATTTGCATATCGCCACATCCATGGCAAAAAGACTACACTTGCACATGAGGCAAGTGTGCAAGGGCTCGAAATCTACACAAACACCAGCGCAGAGCGAGACAGACGGAGAGACGGACGGACGGACGGACAGACAGACGGACAGACACAGAGACACAAAGACACACACACACACACACACAAACCACACTCCTGATGTATGTCGCGGCGCTCGTTCACTTTCGAAAGATCTACCCTGGCAGAATATGTGGTAGATGTCGTATCTCTAGCTACTGGCTTGTTCATCGCCTCTGCCGTAAGTCCAGGATATCATTTGGTGGTGACATAGCAACCGTATAGAGCTAAGTAGGTTCTGATGAGTGAAGATATGTCAACCCAACACTGCATACAACGGTACATCTTGAGTCTTAGGATACAGTACCATATCAGACAGACCCTTCACGCTCAGGATAGCAGAAGGGACGTTAGAGCCGCTAGAGAAAGCCCGACAGAAACTCAAAAGTCCAGAGACACCCACACAGCCCCGAGGAAAGAGGATCAGGAAGCAAAGCTTCGTCAGAAGATGACCTGGAAGTTTCGTGAGCTTGACGAGGAAGTTGCCGGGCTCAGGGTTCGCGCGCAAGGGCTGGACCAAAAGTGTTCTAGAAGGGTCTGAGTAAGGTTGATGTTAAAGGGAGGCTTTCGGTTTGCGAAGATGTCTGGAAGGGTCTGTGAGGAACGGCGTTTTGGACCAGATACCCGAAGATTTGAGGGGTACGGAGCCTTAAAAAAATGACAACAACCAAAGTAGATGCTTGCAGCATCAGGCTTCATAATATAAAAGAAAACAGAACGCCCCATGCAGTCAACACCTGAACACCGATGTGCTTTGCTTCGTGCATCAACTCGTATGTGCGCCTCGAGCCCGATATGCAGTTTTCGATCGCCAGGACGGAGAGGGCCTTACGTTGGCTGACGTTCTTGCCTCAGTGTGGAGACTGGAACATGGCACAAAATACGACAGGAAGCTTTATGCCATGCTGTGCTGCTGCGCAGCCGACCGTAGCGCGTGGCAATGCTGACAGCTTCACTGCAGGTTTATCGTGTATGGCTGCAGGTAGGTATGTATGTAATTATATGTATATACACTGTTACAAATTTGTATCTACATGTACATAGACATACACATCTACATATATATAGAAATATATATATATATATATATGTATATATATATACATATATATATATGTTATATATACATATAAATATACAAATCACGTGTGTATTCTGTTTCGTCCGAGGAGGGGTGCTGATAGTCTTGCACTCGGAGTTGAAGCTTGGGATGTAGGGTTGAGGGATGCTAGCAAGATATCAACTGCTCAATGTAATTCTGGTTTGTAGGAGCTGCACTGCTTCTGGGTCATGATCCTTGGAAAGAACAGTTGCTGCAGACATCTGTTGTGCACCCCACTTCCTGCCAGGGAAAACAACCAATATGTGAAGGTTCTCCTGCCTGTGCTTTGCAGATTCCCTGCCCTCGCCCACTTGCCAAAGCTGCTGCACTGATTGTGCACGCATGCCAGGTCGCAACACTGTTGACAGATGTGCTTGGCCACGCACTCGATCGAGATGCCATGCTTCGTTTGGCCGCCAACGTCTACGACACCTTGGAAAGAAGCGAGCAGGAAGGGTTCCGAGTGTGGGCGCCGTCATGCAGTGGACGAGTGCAGCACCAGATTTCTGTAGCTCTCCGTCGCTTCTGGGTAGCTGCGGCCATGTCAAAATGCTGTAAAGACCAGACATGTCATTCCCAAGTATGAGGGACCTCTTCTTCAGTTTGGATGCCTGCCAGAGAGCAACAGTCGCTGATTTCAGAATTGTGAACACAGCAGACCTGTCCCGGAGATGGTGTCGAGACCATGCCAGGAGCTGCTGCAGTTAACGGAGCTCCAAGAGTGTTTGGAAACTGTGGCTCGTCAGATGACTCGTAACAAGTGGGTGGGTACCGTCCCCATAGACTTATTCAGACCGTCTCTTTGCATTACACGTCTGTCTTTGGGGTCCGATGCGGTTGCTTAGCGTTCAAGATCGCCACTGATTTCCGAACTACTAGGCTTTCCAAGGCAAGAAGAGCTCCAATCAATAGATCCATGCTCTCCGCTGATACATTCCAGTATGCCCCGCGTACCAAACTCTTTATGCAGCATTATGCAATAACTTCACACATGCAGACAGAGCGCTGGAAAGCAGTGTCGCGAAGTTGTGGTTTTGATGTGCAGCAACGACGGTGCGGTAATGTGCTGTGCGAGAACAAGAGAAGCATGGCATCATCAACCAGTTGGCCTTCTAAGTCCTCCTGTCGCAAAGCTTCTTCCCCGGACGGCTTCCTCTTTGAAAGCTCGTATTCGTATGTATGCATACGCATCTGTTCAATAATTTGTTTATTTGTGTTAATACAGGTACGCATGCATAAATACCCCCGAACGTCGCAAATGTGTAAGTTATGTGCTTGTCCGTTTGCACCGCCGAACGTCGAAAATGTGTAAGTTACATGCTTGTCCTTATCGCATATGCGTGTTTCTGTCTGTATGCATGTATGTAGTGTGTGTATCGTCCTAAACCCGCCTGACGCCGTCGAGCGCGAGTGCTAAAATGTGTATAAACACGCTTGTGTGTGTGTGTGTGTGTGTGTGTGTGTGTGCGTGTGTGTCTTTATAGAGTTGGTTATGCACTGTGCCTTCTGCGCTCCCCCCCACCCTCCCCCGCCACCCGCAAATACATATTATATAGACAACCATATATGTGTATATGTATATATCTTTTTTTATCATTATATACATACATATTTATATATATATATATATCTATATATATATATATATATATATCATTCTTGAGGGCTCAGCTGCAGAGTCGGTTGTTGAGGGGTGTTCCGTTTGGACCTCAGGTCACGACGGGCTATGAGGCGATGCTCAAGCGTCAGACACCGGGCTGAAGACCTCGTTTGGCCTCGAGTTCTAGGGCAAGTTGGTTTAGGGTTTAGGGCTGAGGGTTTAGGGTTTGTAACCGGGCTGCAGGAAAACGAGGCCTGCTGCAAAAAAGGGTTTAGGGTTTAGGATTTTAGGGCAAGTTGGGAGGCATCGCTTGCGAGGGAAGGATAAAGATGTGGGGGTTTGGCTCTCATGAGAAACACATCGCACCGAACATAATCACCGCCATCGTCTCACTCTGCATAGTCTATCGTAGGGGTCGGGGTTATACTGCTGCTCTGCATATAGAGTAGCGGGTTGCACTGATGACCTTTGCCTGTAGAGGTGACGGTGGTAATCACCAGCTGCAGTACGACTAGCCCTACATCGGTCTCAGACTCTCTATAGCAAGAACCCTCAAATCATCCCAGCGCCCAGGAGAAAGCATAGCTCCCAGGGGCAGCGCGGAGAAGACCGATCCTGGCCATGGGTTCAGCGTCTCGCAGGCTCCGAGTCGAGTGTTATGGCATGCAGTACAGGGTGGGAATGACTACCAATATTTCTTATTCCTCAGTGTGCCTAATCATGAAGAAGGCGTTCGATATAAGCAATACGTGTACATATATATATATATATACATACATGTATAATGCAACCCCCGAAGCCGAATCATAATTTAGGCGTCTGTGTTACTCTATGATGTTGTGTGCATCTAGGGTGGCAGAGGCTGCAGCTGTTTGCTGTGGACGCACACCTACTATTGCATGGCATGGTTCCACTTATTTTATTTATTTTGCTTCTTCTACTTCTACTACTACTTCTACCTTCTGCTTCTCCTTGTCCTGCAACTTCTACGTTTCCGTGTCCTTCTACTTCTACTGCTACTGCTACATCTGCTGTGAATGCTACTGCTGACGCTAATGCTCCCGCTCCTGCTCCTCCTGCGGCTGCTGCTACTTCCAGTGCTACTGCTACTCTGCTACCTAACGACTTCAAGTACCTGGTACGGGAGCAAAGAAGAACAGGTTCCTGCCGGGCTTCCCTGGCTTGGATGTGGGGGTTTAGGTCTTGGTTTTTGCTGCAGAGCTTGGTTGAATCCCATGTTGCAACCACATTGTCTTCGCAGGCTTCGTGATGCCAATGGACTCGCCCTACCTGCTGGTCTGGGCAGCTTGGCTGTCCTCTTTGACTTTACTGCAACGCGGCCTCAGAAATGCGTTGTTCTTTGTTACAGGCTTCAATGCATGATTCAGATGTTGATTACACCCAGAAGTCACCTTGCATATTGCATGCAGGCCAGCTGCGCAGCGCAAATTCCAAGATGACCTTGTGAGCCCAGCAGGAATGCGCCTGTCAGGACTTCTTGAAGAATGCAGCTGCCATCTACTACTTGATGGAGGCCTTGACGCAGGGGGCGAAACGGAGCTGTCAGAAGCTGTTCTTCCTGTCGGCCTGTAGCTAGATAGACTGCAACAAAGCCCGCATTGCGCCTTCAACACTGAAGCGTCACTGCGGCTCGTCTCTTAGGACTTGAGCAAGCCCTGAAATCCACCAACCGTTAACAGGTGCCCATGCGGTTCTGCATCATTAATTTCGATGCGGCCAGCCAGCAGACCGCGCTGACCTGGTTCATCGTCAACATAGGCCGCTGCCGTGATGTTGGTTTAGCCGATGACGGGATGTCGGAAGAAACCTGCCGCAGCTGTTGCTCCTACTGACATTATGCTGCCAGCAGTTTGGCTGGATGGTTTCGAGTGCATGTAAGAAATGAGACGTATCTGCCCTTGCCTTCTGATAACATGCCTGCAAAATGGTAAACCCCACGACGTGTTCCAACTATTCTCCTGGTGAAGTCATTGCTGCCCTTGTCCATGAACCACCGATGTTTAGCCATGACTTCGCTGTGACGCTTGAAGCTTTATCCCGGGACTGGTTCCACATGTCCACGCATGATGAGAATACTCAGGGTTTCATACACCTTTCCGAAGTGAACTTGGTGGCCCGAGATGCACATGCGCATAGTGTTGTGTTGGCATGACTGAACTAGAGCCTTGCGCTGCACCCGATCTCGCATGAAAGACTTCCCGCTCCGTCCCGCCGCAGCTATGGACGTCTTCATGTTTGCCAACCTGCCGTTGAACTTCCTGCGGAGCACCTTGCCAGGGCAAAGCTTTCAATGCCAATTCAGATATCCAAGCTAAGCCGTCACAACATCCCGCGGCCATGGCCTCGACAGAGAGTGTTCCATAAGTTCCGACGCTCCCATGATTAAGCATACAATACAAGTTGCAAAGACCCCCCCCCCCCCCCACGAGACCGAGCTCCAAAGGCTACGAAGAGGGCAGTGGGATCGTCGTCCGCGATTTCGAGCAGATTCGGCGCAACTATCTGCTGGGTGCCTTCAGCATGGGCCTCGGATAAAAATCTATGAAGGTACCAGGTAACGCCAAATATTCGTAATTGTGCTCGTAGTACAAATGAAAGCAGCATTTTCCACCAGCAGGCGGAGGAGGAGGAGGAGTAGCAGTAGCCTCAGCAGTAGCAGTAGCAGTAGCAGTAGCAGTAGCAGTAGCAGTAGCAGTAGCAGTAGCAGTAGTAACGGTAGTAGTAGTAGTAGTAGTAGTAGTAGTAGTAGTAGTAGTGGTAGTCGTGGTGGTGGTGGTGGTGGTGGTGGTGGTGGTGGTCGTGGTAGTGGTAGCGGTAGCAATATCAACAGCAGCAGCAGCGGCAGCAGCCATAGTACCAGCAGTGATAACCAGCTATCTATGTGGACTCGGGAAGCGATCCAGCAGAGTGCGAGGTTGGGATTTGATTGCCTGCCTTCCATTCGACATCTTTGCCGATCCATCTTTGTCCAGCGAGCAACCCGTCCCCTTCAGCTTTGCCAGTTGCAACAGAGGAAACACACGTACAGGTGAGCCAAGGACTTGCAAATTGAGTGCCCTGAAACCGAAAGCCCAAAACCTGACATGCTAAACCTTAAACCCTGAACCTGAAACCCCCATAAACCTTAAATCCTAAAACCCTAGTTGCGAGAGCATAAAACCCTTGACCTTATGTACGCCCCAGGCCCTGGAAGGTCGCCCCGTACTCGACGTGATTCAACATGCCCTAGACCTGAAACCCCAGACCATAGCACCCTAACTCCTGGCTTTGGATGCTTACAGCTCAGCCAGTAGTAGTGCCTCCTCATCACACCCATACACTTGTGTACGATACGATATATCCCGAAATGCCTATGTCGACACACTTAGTCCAGGGGCTTTGTGCCTTACACGCGGCTTTTGGGTTACTATGTTGTGATTGCAGACGGACTCTACGGACACAAGAACACTATTGAGTCAGGTCTTTGTGCTACTCCCCGTTACTCCCCGCCCCCTTGTCGTGTCTGCGGTGGCCCCAGTTTCGTAATTACAATCGAGTCAACACGAGTAGTTCAAGTTTTAAACTGGATTAGATGCTCGGAGACTTCTTTTCCTATTGCAGCCGAAAGTGCCGCCTCGGCAGTTAGGGGCAGGGGGACACACAGATGGGCCGGCTGGTGTGAGCTTTTGCTTAGTGATGTCTCCAGGGCCAGGGAATGCGAGGTTTGGATGGGTGCTGGCTTTGTCAGCAAAGGCGTACTTATGCTACCTGGCGATTGCTGAAGCTCATCCACCTTCGGCATCTCTACACGCGGAGACACGTGTCTCAGCAGAATCTATGCACGCATACGACGGGCACAGGGCATCATCCGATGCCAGGAAATACCAACGGATGTCGAACTCAGGCAAGGGAAGCCTTGTCCCATTTCTGTCCAGGACAGCAAATCCTCCGATCGCCGCGAGCACGGGTTCATGCCAGAGACCCAGTTTGCCTTAAACTTGCGACTGATTGCTGAGCCCCGCTCGAAACAGGCTCACAACTTTGATGGTTGTGCTGCAGCTCTTCGTACTCCTGCATTTCATGGCCTGCATCTTCTGGTACATCGGAAATGGCTGGCCTTCCGTGCGCCTTGCCGGCTTACCAGATCGGAGCCTTCCGTGGCAGGCATTAAGGCCGTTGTGTGAAATCTGCTCTGCAGAAATCCGTGCGCGAATGAATCGATTTTGTGGGCACCATCATCGCAGACTCCAGATGACCCCATAGCCTAAACCACAATGTAGCTGCAACCACAAAGATGAACGCACCCCTATTGTGGCTCGTCCTGACCTTAGGCAAGAATTGCGCAGTCGACAAAGCGACACTGATGTGCCTGGATGGTTCATGGTGTACGAAGGTTGGCTGGGTCCAGGATTTAGTCTACTGTATGGGGACTCGAGCCTGTGCTTGAGGATAACATAGGGGCCTTAATAATTACCTATACTATTTTGGCAGGATTTGGGGGGATTCATAATACCAATTACAGTATATTTGGACCCGAAACCCTATTCTGATTCTTAATGCCCCTATCGCACTTCGGACACCTAAGTTCAAGAGTGCGATCGTGTGACTGACCGAGGCCAAACAATTTCCGGTCGACAAGAGTAGGAATGTCGGTGCTTGTGCCTGCGTCCGCTGCTTCGGCAACGAAAGCACAAATCGTACAACGTTTGGCAGCATGGCGACCGTGTCAGATGCAAAACGAAGAGCAGCAGTAGGGACCAGTACTGTATAGGGTAGTAGTCGGCGTCGTGGTCGAGGTCTTGGTTGGGATCGCCGTCGGGGTCGTAATTGTAGTTGTCGGCACCGGCACGGTGATCATGTCAGAAGATGTGTCGTCACGGAAGAAGTCCTCATCGTCATTGCCGTCGAAGTCGTCGTAATGTAGTAGTCGTCGTCGCTGTAGCAGCTGTTGTTCTGCGATTATGAAAGCGAGGTTATCTATGCCATCTATGCCGAATCTATATACTTCCGACGGGGAATGCTAACCTTGTATGTGGGTACTCGCTGCGAGACAGGAAAGAAAGCGTGCAACAACCAAGCTAAAACCCCAGCTTAGAACCATAGACTTGAGGTTGGGGTCTAGAGTTTGGGATCGCATCTGCCTATCCTTCTCCTGGCCTGAGCGCAGGCATGAGTTACCAGCGGGGCAGCATAAGCCAGCCAGAAGTGCCCGTGATTCGCTTGAAATTGGCTGACTTTTGACTCGGAGTTTCCGTCGCCAGGCACATGACCAGGGTGTTTAGAGCGGGCCAAGCGTGCATGCCCCTGATGAATTTGTTCGCGGTGCTTCCGTGCCGGCGGACTAAGTGGCATGTCTTCTTCGTTTGGGATGTGTTGCTTACGAGATTCCATTTGCTACCGAGTCTATGCCAAGCGGGTGGTCCCTCCAGCAAAACTGGATATATGTGCGGAGGCTTACTTTTACGAACTCTCTCCCCGAAACCCTAAACGCTGAACCCTAAACCCTAAACTAAACCCTAGAACCCAAAACCATAAGTCCATGGAGTCTCCCTTCATTGTCTTGCTTGAGACCGGAAATCCCTGGACTCCCTGACAGGCAGGCTTGTTCCTTACTGGGGCCTGGTTAAGGAACTTGATTTAAGTTGGCATCGTAAGCAAATGTTTTAATATATAGATCCCCATTGTGGTAACGTTTAAAATTACACCCCCTGGCAAGAACCCAGCTTAAATCATCTTCCGAGGTTCTGAACCAGTACCTACTGCTTCTTGGCACAATGTCCATCGCTCGCGCACGCTGGTCCAGCGGCACGCTTTTCACTGGTTTCCCCAAGGCTTAAAATCCGAGTTGCCATTTGTTCAAGTAGTTTCAGCCTCGAGTATTCTGGACTGTTTGACCTCTTCTGGATGACTGAGTGAAGCACCATCAATGCTGTTCCGAGGGCAGTTTACATCATGGTGGTCGTTGTGACGAACGACAGCAATTCTCTTGCCAGCCCATCATCCTGGCCCGAGCTGTTTTGGCTGCTAGTGAGCCACTTGCCTGGAACTTGCATGCGAACGGTGCCAACCGTTCTGGGTTCTTGTTAAAAGGATATTCAATATAAGCTTCCAGAGTAAGGAAATCATTTTATTCACCATACATCCCCTTTATTGCAATTAAAATTAAATCCCCCAACAAGAACCCAGCATTCGGGCTTTCATCAGCGAAAACAGCGTCGGACAAGATCTCGCGCGGTTCCCCCGAATCCCTCAACCCCGAGACATCTCTAACCCTAGACCCCGAAACCCTGGACCCTCGCCACAGGTTTCGTGATCTCCGTAGCAGTGATGGGCCACATCGATGGCACACTGGTTGGCAAGGCCTGTCTTTGCTCCTCGAACCCTCGAAGTTTAATCTCAATAATCCGTAATGCTACTACTACCTAGGCCTCGTTGATTCCATTCTTGCAGGCTGCACCCCAAAACCCTCTTCCAGTTTTTAAAAAGACCCCGAAGCCAGCGACCAGCATCATGAAGTCCTGAGAAGTCTAGAAGGCTCTGGTTCTGCGTTCTGCACAGTTGAGAGGTTGGGTTTCAATGAGGTGGTTCAATGCGACAAACTTCAGACCAAACGCATCGCCACAAGAGCTAAAGGCCGCTTCCCTAGGAAGTGCCTACATATCCACCCATGCGACAGGTAATCTCGCAGGATGAAAGTGTCGTGGAGCAGCGTGTCATGCGAGCCAGGACAGGTGCGCTTGAAGCTCTGTAGGCTTAAGGTAAAAGCCAGAAAGTTGGAATATTATTATCCTAACCCTTCTATGGTAAAATATAGGGTATCCTACCATGAAGCCATATTCCAACTTTCTGGAGTTCCCTATAAGCCCAAACGAGGCTCGGCTTTGAAGCAGCCCACCTTTGTTATGAGTAAGGTGTCTGATTAATGCTTTAGCTTCGCAGCATACATTTCACAAGTGGAAACACCGAAGCGGCACCCTGGGTATACTTTGCTTATTCTACTGACAAGTTTCAATTCTTGCGAAATCGTTTCGACAGAACATTTGGTTATCATTCAATGTCCTCATGCTCTCGCACCTTTGTTGGTTTCTGTTTCAGATGTCGTTTCTTTCAGGGCAGGCAGCGCGTCCTACGGACGGGTTGGGAAAGCAGGGAAGCTTCGTACGTAAGCCCGAAAATTAAACTGTAAACCCGAAACCCCAGCCCAAAGCCATGAATACTAAACCCGAATCATTTCCAAAGCCTTAAAACCTAGAATCCTATATAATCCCAAGCAGGATCGACACATTCATCAAGAACTCGGGTCTTCCTCCAGACCTCGTGGAACAGCGGGGGCCTCTGTAAGAGGCTGAGGGTTTGGGCTTTGGGGTTCCTCGGGCTTGGGTAGAGGGTCCAAGGGTTTGGGGGGACTTTGGGCCTTGGGCCATCATGGGACTAAAGTCGGGGTCTAAAATTCGGGGTTCGGAGCCAGGGTTCGGCCTATTTCAGCCGCAGGTGTCTGTTTTGCCCGATACATGAACTGCTCAACGAAAAATGCGGGAAAGAGTATGCAGATGGTGCCCTGTGTGAGATGTTCATAATAAGTAGCAGTAGCAAGAACAGTAGCAACAACACCTTGCTCACGAGCACAGCGTTTAGTTCATAATCATGACGGTGATGGCCATCCTCACCCTTAACACCATACCCTAAGGCCCCAAAGTAGTTCCTTCTGGGGGCTCATATTTAGAACCCTATAAGGTAACCCCCCAAAGGAACTACTTGGGGGCCTATGGGTAATGTCTTCTCAGGATCCGAATGTCCGCTGGCGCAGACGGAGACAGCGGCGTCAACGTCTTGGCTTCCAGCAACAAGACTCAAAAGGCCGCAGACGTGGCCTGTCGACAATCTACAAAATGGCTGGAGAGAGCGAGGCATCCGTAAGTATTTCCGTAAAAAAGATGATGGGGCTAAATCTAGTCGCCTAGATAGTTACCGATATAATGTATAGCAGTGTAGCGGAATATACCCCAAAGCCCTGTTCAAATCGTGAAGGCCCCGAGGAACCCGGATCCTGATCCCAGGTTCGTGTCATGGAGTCGGTCTTGGCTAACCTTTCCTATTCCCTGCTCCAAAGAGTGGGACGGCGTGTCTTTCTGAAGTGGCTTCAAGCTTTGCCGATTTTCAAGGACCGGGCTTTCGGGATCACAGTCTTGAAGATTTAGGGCTTTCGTGTTCAGAATTTAGGCTTCAGTGCGTGCTGATGTCACAGAACAAAGGATGCCGCGGGCCCCGTAATTTGATGACCAAACTGGGGTCACGGCTTAGGTTTTAGGGCTATGTATTTCAGCGCTTGCAGGGGACTGAGTCAGCGATGGTTGTTCCAACCTGGATACACAGAGCTTGCGCATGCAGCCCTCAAGCCAGGACTGTTCCGATCCCTTCTTGCTACACTTGGCGACATCATGTCGGCTGCTGACATCGTCGGCAGGCGCCTTTGTTTGCCGGGCGGGGGAGCCCACCAGTGTCCTGACCGCATATATGTATATACATATACATATATATATATATATATGTGGCCATATATGTATATATAGGTGTGTACATGTATATTTACCTTTATATATCAGGAGAGGCAATCTGGGGAAGAGGGTTCACAAAGGCGGCGCTGACAAGAAGTACCATTCAATTCCGTAGAAGTAATCTATCGTATATCAGAACCGCAAAAACCCCTGTGGCACTTATTAAGCCAACTATACTCACGTTTACAGCGGTCGTTTCCAGATTCCTGTCTGCAGGGTGTTGAGGCCTAGTGATTCATTCCCACTGTGCCGTCAGGTTTACTGCTGCAGAGCTTAGGGTTCAGTTCTGAACGTTTCATTTAAGGCTGTAGAGTTTTGAGGTTAAGGGCTTCAGGTCCGACGGGAGCAGCACTGACAGTGCTTCACACTCAGTGCCTCGATGCCCTGTCATTGCCAACGGCTCTAATTACGAGGCAGATAAATACAGCCCGAGTAGACATAAGTCGTGGCTATGAAGCAGATTTCTCGCTGTGCTGTTTGTGTCGGCACTCCCGAGTTTAACTCGCGAGCTTGATCTGCGAACATTATCCCAAGAAAGTATCGAGCCCAGTGAACCCTTCACCGAGGCTATTTCGTTGTGCTAAAGAGCGGCTCGGCACAGTTGCGCGACATGAACAGTGACGAGGCCGGACATGGTCAACTTGTTCCGGGTAGAGTTCCGAGCCATACGAATACCAGTAGTGCAGCAGCAAGGTGCCTCATTCTGGACAGACTCATCCGAGCAAAAGATGCTCTTTTCGCTTGGTAGGTGGATCGCGTGGACGAGCGGGGCACGGCCTTGTGTGACATGTCCTGCCTCTTTGGCCTGCGACACGAGATCTCCATCGTCAGCAGCACGGCCGAAAGTCCCGTTTTGTCAAGCTGTGGTGATGACGGTGATGGTGGTGTTGGTAACAGCAACCACCATAGCTGTACCTGTTGTCGTCGGTAGTGTCAGCAGGAGGAGCAGCAGCAGCGGCAACAGCAGTACGAGTCGCAGTTCGGTCGAGGTCATATAATCAGGAGCACGTTGCAGGGTCAGGCCATGCCATCAATAGAGCTCCGGTCCTACGGTTGGTGATATAAATCCTGCAAAACCCATAATAAGGAATATACCATAATTCCCATAGTTTAGGGTCCTTAAGGTAATGCAGGATGTATATCATCACCCGTAGTTGGGAGAGGTGTTCCTTGGCCCGGTCCTTGCTATCACCAGGTGAGGAGGACAGCGTCTTCATCAAGTGCCCCCTGGAGCAGCTGAACCATGCCCTGGCTTTGTATCCCAAGGACCCGTCAGGTCTATCTGTAGGGTATATGTATATATATATATATACATACATACATACATATATATAGATATATATATATATATATGTAGGGTATAGGGTCGATTCTGCAGATTTTGTTCGCAGAAGCAGCGCCGGCACAGCGTTTTGTCAGACCCTGTGTCCTCGCACAATGTGGGTGGATTGGGAGTTTGAAGAGCACAGCGAGCGACGCGCACCCCGTGCTTTATTCCCACAGCACAGCCACCTTCAGAAAACAAAGCGAACTCGAATTGCTTTGACTGTGTTCGTGGCGGCAGTTCGTACTGTGGCATTCTCAGGACCGGCCAGGTGTGGCAATGAAGCGTATGTCTGTGATGTTCGCATGCCCTGGCCAAGCCCTGAAACCAACACGTCACCAGCTTCACATGGCCAGTATATGGCCATTGTGACCATTACCTGCTATCATGAGCCTGGCCTGGGGGGTAGATGTCGGTATCGTGACATGCTCGACGGTCTGTGGCTCATTGCACGGCAGCAGAGTTTCTTCATGGGGACGTCGATGGGAGTAAGGACATAGAAGGGGCACGAGACTCGAAACCGGAGCCACCCTTGGACCCTGCACACCCTTGACGTTTCATCTGGGCGCGCGAAGATGGATGGACTGTTGGGACAGTTGCTGATTCAGCGGCCTTGCTGGCACTTGGAGAGGACCACGAAGCCATCCACAACAACGTTCTGAAGCTGACGCCCGATCCGTCTCATGAACAGGAAGGCAACGAGGACTGGGAAGTACAGCAGTAGTCACCATTGTCGCCGTAGCTGCAGAAGCTGGAATAGCAATAGCAACAGCATCGAGCAGCAGTAGTAAGAGTTGCAGCAGCGGAGAAAAGGAGTATAGCAGTGTAGGTGAAGGCGGAGGCGTCTTCGCCATCGTCGTGGTCAGTAATATTCGTCATCGTCGTCGTGGTCGTAGCCGTAGTCGTAGTAGTAGCATCAGTATACGAGTACAGGTACGAGTACTGTACTTGATTTTGCACTAGTACTAGGCTAAAATTGGTACAGAGATATGGCACTAGTAGTAGTAGTTGCTGTCGTCGTCGTAGCAGTGATCGGAGAGCGAATCGCACATGAGCAGCAGACGCAAGAGTCCAGGATGGGTCTGATCCGCCGAAGTAAGTTTTGGAGCAGTTACAGTCTATTCTCAAGGCGCTGGAATGTGCAAAGCAGAGAACACTGGCTGAAGCTAAGCCGTTCTAAGAAACGAAACCGGAAAGCTTCAGAACGTATTTCTGAAGCATCTGATGCACGGCATGGAACTCGATCGTCGGGCGTCCGCCGCAGGACGTGATTGATAACCAAGGCATGGTCGGCCCGAAGCTCAGACACTGGGTATGTAGGGTTTAGATTTCGAGTAAGGTGCCTGAGATGTTCGGCTGTGTCCTGCTTCGCATATCAAAAGTGAGACCTGTGCAAATGCATCTCAGGCATGTGGGGGGAGGATGACGAGGACATGGCCAAGTCACAGGCACCTTGGCAAAACCAGAAAGCAGATCATGTCTTGTGCAACACATGCATGATGCCCTAGTGGTGCCCAGCCTTACGCCGCGGGAGTCTTGATTGAGGGCAAATAGAAAGCTAGGTTCGCCTTCACTGACAGCTTGATGTCACCCCAATGCGGAAATTTCAGGGCTCATAGACTGTCATACGTTATCGCGGGCAGCGCTGCCCCGCTCAGTCTATCTGCGATCATCCCATAATTCCTAAGCCCGCAAACCATGGCTTGAAACATGAAGCTTTGAAGCAGCCCTACGACATCACAGGGTTACTTGGGCCGGGTCTCCCTATATCCAGCATCCTGCTAGACCCTACTAGTTAGTTTTGTACTTGGGTCAGTTAGTTTGTGAAACCTCCGTGAGCGCCTCAACCAGGCATCAAGAAAAGAGACTGCTGGGGCATAAACGCTAAATCATAAGCTTAAAGCCCAAAACCATTACAAACTTTGGCAGGCAATGCGCAATGCAATCTACAGCCCAAGAGCCCAAAACCTCAACACCCTGCGCTGTTTTTTGCTTCCGCTACTCCTGAAATCCGAAGGTCATCGAAGGTCCTAAACCCTAGGAGGCAAACAAATCTGACACACTAAACCTACCAGAATCCCAGAAAGCCCTACATCCTACTCCCCAAACTCTCTCCACCGCTGAACCCCGAAACCACTAGAAGCCCTTTAGAGCACCGAAAGCCACGCAGAGCTTACCGTTGGTTAGTAGGGAATGGAGGAATGGGGTACAACTATAACTACTATTACTACCATTCTTCCATTCCCTACTAACCAAAGGTAAGAGTACCCCTATAGATCCCATTATAAGGAACCCCTATAGATCCCTTTAAGGAGCCCTATAGATCCCTTTAAGGAACCATTCTTAAGAGAGAGAGGCCTCCCACACCTCGCGCCGGCGGCGGAAGCGCAAAGAAGGCGGAGTTGACCTCGTGGCCGACTCTCAGACATGCCAAGACTGCGGTACTAGAGTACTAGATGAGTTCCGTTGTGGGTTCTTTCAAGGGTTCCTTTCAGGCTGCAAGCGTGCTTTTTGGGGTCTACAATGGGGATCTCAGGGTTTAGAGGAACCAGTTGCAAAAAAGGTTTCCTCTTAACTTGGGCATTTTCGAGTAGGATGTGCTTTTTCTGCGGCTGTGGGATCGTTTAGGCTGGGGTTTACGGGGTAAAGGGCTTGTGAGGTTAAAGTTCAAGGATATGATTAGAAAGTTTAGCGATGGGAGTGTTGGGAAGGTGTGTGTTACTGAAAGTTTCGGAAAGTTTGGATTTGTGACCCCAATAAGCCCTGTAAAGCGCCCTCAAATCCAGCGATTTGATCCAAAGGAGCTGAACTTGCACGACCTTTCTCTGGAGGGAGTCGGGAGCCCGGCGATTTGAAACCAGGAGCTAAGGTTTAGGGGTGTTTCGGGGAACGGGTTGCGGTTTAGGAGTTATGACTTGCAGCAGGGTTTTGAGCATTATAGGGTTTGAGATAGCCGGGTTGCTAGCGGGCAGGACTCAGTTCGGGGCTATGGTGCTTGCGGTGCCTGCGCCTCAGGTTGCGAAAGTGAGGAAGCTCATCAAGCAGTTTCAGAAGACGCAGGACGGTGCCGTGTGATCGCGTAATTAGAGTGTCCTTGGCTTTTCCGTGCAAGCCATGGCAGCCATGGTTGTGCTTTAAGCAGTAGCCCCGTAAGCCGAGAACCCTTAACCCTAAACAGGAGCAAGAACGCATCGGCGACTTCATTGCCTATGCCGCTCAGGGTAAGATGGAGCAGATGGAAGCTATGCTGAGAAGCACCCCGGCACCAGTAGCAAACCGATTCATCTTGCATTATGTCTTACTATGTTGTACTTGATATATTGTGTTTGTTGGACTGTGTCGTATATCAAATGCTTCGCCATCATGGACAACGCCCCCGGACCGTCAGAACCATGCTCACACGACAACACCACCACCACCACCTCGACCTCCACCTCTACCTCAACCTGCACCACCAGGTGCTGCCATCAATCCTCGTCAACCACATCCTTTTCGCCTTCTAACCCCATCCTGAGCTTGTTCCTCTTATTGATCAAAACTGGTTTTAGAGTGTATCGGCCCTTCCGTGCTTCCGACCCTGCAGGCAACAAGGTCAGCGTGAGCTGCGTGAATTGGGACATGCGCACGGCTCTCCACGTCGCTGTCAGCAATGGGCATGGCACCATCGTTGAGAAGCCACCCGGTTGCATTGGACCTTTTGCATGAGTCGTTGGTGCCCCTGTGGCATCCGGGATCGTGATCAAGCCCGGTCAACCCATGCGTGAATTACACCGCAATGATGATGTAGCAAATTTAGCACCCACAATAGCAAAGGGAGGCGATTGAGTATTGTACGAAGTGCTCTGCCTCCTACCATCGCTGTACCCATGACTTCTCCTATGACTATAATGCTTCGCTGCGGGAAAGAAACTGCAATCACGCGCTAATCTCATTCTTCAGGGTTTCTCTAGCATAATATATCCCCAAGCCCTACTCTAATTACGAAGGCCCCTACCTTACACCTGTGTAGTAGTTAATGATTGTCATAGTAATCCTGATAAAAACCTTCTGAAGGACTCAAGATCGATAATATTTGTCTATTCAGCGCCCTGAACTAACTGGGAGTCTCCGAAAATCAGGGGTACCTTATTTTGGGGTCCTTATAATAAGGATCCTAATATTTAGGGTGCTATAGTAGGGTCCCCTGTTCTCGGAAACTCCCAACTAAGTATTTCTCGTAACCCGTATTACACCTGTTTCCGAAACCCGAGTCGGCCGGTGTAGTAACTCGCAAGTATTTTGTGGCCTGCGGTCTTGTGCCCTTTAGTTTGCCAGGCGGGGGAAGGTTTTGGGCTAGGGTTCAGGCTTCAGGCTTAAATGTTGAGTGTGTAAGTATACGTGGTCGTCGCCGAAGTGGTATGGTAGCATCATCAGCCGGAGGGTTGGAGCAGGAGTGGGAGTAGGAGTGATAATTTGGAGTAATGATGGTAAGAGTTTCACCTCTGTCCTTGGTTCATTCTGGGATCATATTCTGCCGCATGATGTCCCATCAGGCTTATCATGGAGTACCTGGCGCCCCTGACGGTGCAAGACCGTGCCTTGTCACTGCAAGTACGATGGGGAGCTGGCCATTGTTCCGAATGCAACGAGGCAAACGTTGCTTCAGCTAGAGCTCCAGTGGCCCTAACCCCGAACCACAGACTGGAAGCCTGAATCGACTGCCAGGCTTTGAACATACGCCTCTAGACGATGCTGTTCGAGAGCGGCATGCCGAGGCTTGTACTGCTTTGCGACCGACACACTTTGCTCGGCTTGACGTCGGCAGTAGCCACCGTGACAGCAACAGCAAGAGCCACGAACATGATGACAAAAGGCCCAGCAAGGACCGCGGCGGCCCCACAACTGCTAGTTCAAGCACCAACTACAGGGACTACCACCAGCAACATCAGCACCAGTGCCACCAGAAGCGCCACAACCACCACGAAAACCGCAACGGCAACTTCCACGCCGCAATCACCACCGGCACGAGCACCAACAGCACCACCGTCACACCAACAGCCCGAAGAGCAACAGCAAGTCCTTCCTCGTACTCTGCACTTTAACATCTGCAGCGTCAGCAATATGCAGTAGCATTCGCAAACAAGAAAGAGCAACGATATCAAACATAGCGACAGCAGCAATACCAAAACCTCCATGAATGCCCGCATCACCGCAACCACTAGCAGCACAAAGCACCAACACCGCCAGCACCGCCATCAGAGCAGCAGACATCCGCCCGATTCGACTACCATAACTAGTGCTGCCACGCTTGCTGGAACTGCTTGTTCCGTTCGTCCGTTCAGGCTAGCTGCACGTAGTGTTGATCATCGTCAAGAGCCATATGGGTAGTTGTCAAAATTATGGCCCCCTTTTTGGGCACCCGAAATATTAGGTGCCGTATTATATTAGGGACCCAAAAGTTAAATGGACCCGAATTTTGACAACCACCCACTTGTTTCCGGGCAGGTTGCTGAGTTCCTCATTGAGGCATCGGCTGAATTCAAGGGCGGCGTGTCGGCGGCGGCGCTGCCGTCATGTCTTTCGAAACAAGGTCTGGGCGTACGGCTGCTAACCGAACCTAGTAATTGAAAGCATAGGCAGCATGTGCTTGCCAAAACTGCCGAGAATGACAGTCTTTCAACACACATACCAAAGATGTTAATTAACTCTCAACTTTGGGGATGGGGTCCAACTGCGTTTGCTTCTGTTTGATTCCAACACATGATTCGACTCAAGCTTCGACCCTTCAACTAGGTGAAGAGTTCAATCATGTCGCGAACCTTTCACGATGAGTGGCGAGCTGAGGTCTCTTGTGAGGTGAAGCTTGTATGGGAGTTTCCGAATATTAGGGGTACCTTCTTTTAGGGTCCTTATTTATAACCTACCATTATATTGGGGTCCCCTATTTTCGGAAACTGCCGTATCATCCGGAGGGTGAGTCATTGGCGGAGAAGATCCAGCCCGGAAACTCCCGCTTTTTGACTTCTCCAAAACCGAAGTGCGAATGGCCCTGTCCCTAAACCCTAAACCCTAAACCCTAAACCCTAAACCCTAAACCCCTGTGAATGGTTTGAAACTAGAAATCTAGCCGCGTGATGATTTGGCGATAGATGTCCAATGCGGCCAGCCCGGACCTTGGGTTTGATTTTTGAGGGCGCCGGGAAAGATTAATATAGTGCAGGCAGTTGGGAAAATGATGCTGGTGTTTCCAGGCATTCTAAAACTAGACACAGTCACTCCGCAATACTTCACAAAACAAACTGGCCCTTTGCATCATCTGCAATTGAAGCCCCAGCTTGCCAGGTACAGCTGTGCGAAGCAGCGGCGAATGGCGAAACCGCCCAGCTCGAACTTCTTGTGGATGTTATCGGCGTTAGCTGACTGCAGAAAGATGGCGAAGTGCTAGTTTAAGCCAGGGTTCATCAGATGCAGGGCTCCACGGCAGAGGCAACACTAATTATTCAAGCTTGTCCACTCTAGAGCGCTTGCCGCCTACATCCGACAACAGGGCGTTGCATGGTTCCCTGCTGTGACCACGAACGGTCCGTTTCCGTGAGCTAAAGATCTCGACATAGCAGGCAGCGGTAGGGTCAGTATCAGTAATTTCAGGTCGACCCGAATCTCGGGGATTATGATGCCCGCACAGCACTCCATCTGGCCGCTTCCAATGGCCACCTGGAGACGATTGCGCTCCTTGGGCTTCGAACTTCGCGTCAGCCGCATCGCATGTAGTGAAACAGCACCTTACAGCCAGCCACACATCGCACAGTAGCGACCCAATCTCATTCATGAAGAGATCAAGCTAATATAGGGGGCTTAAAATTAGAATAAGGTTTGGGGGTATATTATACTATACTTGTAATAAGGAGCCCCGCAAAGTGGTATTGCTAAGTATCAAGGCCCCTACCCTACACCTTGCCTCACCGCCGAGGAAGATGCTGGAGTTTGGGGGCCTCGATCTGAGTCCTCTAGATCGTTTTGGCCAAACTCCCCTGGACGACGCGATCCGTCACGAGCACGTGGCAGTGCAAAGGCGCGAGTTTATGCATGGAAAAACCCGAAAATCTTAGTTGTACTTGTACTTTTCCAGGCGGGCATCCCATGATTATGCACAGAAACCTGAGGATAGGTAAGTGGCCTTACGTTCGCCCGCCTTCGAGCGGTGAAACCCTACACCGAAATAGTGCTCCACCACAAACCCTGAACCTGCAACCCTAAACCCTAAACCACACACCAGGCTGCTCAAAGCAGAGGGTGCCCAAATGGGCAAAGTTGAGTTCGGCGTGGCGCTCTGCGAAGCGGCTTCGCAAAATGACCTCGGGAAGATCCGCCAGCCCCTTGTCGTGGAAGGCAAAGAAAAGAGCTCAAGGCTAAGGATTCATATAAGGGCCTTAATAGTTCCCTAATTACATTATTTTGGGGGTTGCGACACAATGATTTCTAGTATAACACGCCCCAAAACCCCATCCAATAAAAAAGGCCCCTATATTAGGTTTCAGACTCTGCGGTGTTGCAGATTTCGAGAAGCGCGGTGACTGGGTTTAGGCTCACGAGCTGGATTCCGGAAGGGGGAATGCAATGTAGCCGGATTCCTTTTCAGAGTAGATGTAGTGGCCGCCCCACCAGAGCTCAACGCACCCTACATTGCCTACATCCTATGCCTAAGCTTGTACTGTCGGGCTTGTTTGTTTGGTCCCTACCGGACCGGGCCCGCTTCGGACCACAGCGGTGCGTGAAAGCCGTTTGGGTAGCTCCGTTGATATCAGGCCCTTGGAATGGAAGGAGTCAAGGTACACTGTTTGTCGGCTCCGGAAAAAGACCACATCTGGAGAGACACACACACACACACACTCGCGTTACACTTGCATACGGCTTACGTGCGTCGATGGCGCACAGTGATGCCCGAAGCTCGATTCAGAATGCGGCGCGTGTGAACAACCCACTGCAGTTGCTTCCTGTCGGCAGGCAACCAGGTCGTAGTGCCTTCGTATTGAAAGGTCCCTTGTTTGGGGACAGGCCGTCTCGCAAAGGTGCACGGAGTAATTATGGTGGCTAAGCTGTTCTTATTCTGTTTGGTCGTAGGTACATGTATGTCTTGTTACATTTGAAACCTTGATTTATGCAAATCGTGAAATGACAAGGTGGTGCCATCATCTTCGTAGCATCTGACGAAGTCATAGTCCCTGGGGGCCGCCCTGCGAACCTCGCCAAATGAGTGCAAAAACCAATCCCCTGGAGACCAAAAAGGCCCACCTTCCCGGAACCCCAAGCCAGAAACCCTGAAAACCAAACACGTTTGGACACGCTCCCGGAAAGCCCCGCTCAAATCCATCAACGCCGGATGCCTTGCATTCCGAAAACATGTCCTAAGAGCTCACCCCTCAAACCCTATAGGCCCTAACCTCCCGAGCCCCTATACCCACCCTAAATCCCCAAACCCTTGGCCCTGAACACTTGAACCCTCGAACCCTATAGGCCCTAAACCCCATATGCCCTCATTCCATCCCAAGGATGATCGAAGCAGGGGTCAGGGCAGGAATGGCGGACTACGACTATCGCTCCCCGTCTCTTATAGCAAGTCAAGTGCTCCTCCACAAGGGGGTTTAGGGTTTAGGGTTTGGGGGGGAGGATCAAGGGGTGAAAGTTCTGGCTAGGGAGGGTTTGTGGCGGGTTTACATGGGATTTGTTCGGGTTCGTGGAGTGTTTTATTGAGGGCTGGTAAAGGGTTTATTGGTTCAGGGTTTCGGGTATGGTGTTCGGGGTTTTGGGGATCATTCGCGATCCACAGTGCCGCGAAAGTGGAAGAATCTTCTCCTTATCATAGGCAACCTGGAAGCCGTACTTCAGAACGACCCTCCTGCCTCGTGCTGAACCAGGAACCGCACTGCACCTGGCATGTTCCAACGGACATTTGGAAACGTGCGTCTTCCTCCTCCGCGAGGGCAAGGCATCTCGGATGCACCACTGCGGATGGCAACAACTCCGATAACTAAAGATACCAATAATAGAAAATCCGCACCAGTAATCATGATGACCGAATTATGCTCCTCCTTGCAATCCTGAGGAACATGAGAGAGTCTTGTGCTGCGTTTGTTTGAGGTGGATCCGAATCCCTTGGACCGCTTCCTGAACACGCCCATGGACTGCCAGTGGCCCTCAGCAAGACATGCATTGGCCCGCATTTGATAGCACGAAGGTTCTCTGCGTGTGCTTCTATCGTAGCAGCAAGTCGTCAGCAATGCTGCTGGTCTTCAGCGTCTGTGTTCACACACAGCTCGGAGCAAGAAGAATGCCATGTTGCAGACCCCTCCGAAGGCCTTCTGACAGGGAGAGTCGCGCTCAGCTTCTGGTGTCGAAGCTTATGCCGGCAGATGACGCATGATGATGCATGGTGCCCACCCTACTGTACGATTGACCGGCTGAGCCCAGCTTCCCGACACATTCGTTTCCAAAAGCTGGCAAGCACGAAAAAGGCGAGGTGGGTTCTTTTTGCACACGGGTGTCAGGCCTTTCCTCCTCATATGCACTCAGCCAAAGCCTAGAAAGGACCCTAGAATTCTCGATGCTACCCGAGCTGTCCGAGCTGTGAAAGCTGAAGCTTTATGCCCGGAGGACGATGCGGTGCGTCACGAGCAGCACGATGTGGTGCAGCTCCTCGTGAAATATCGGGGAAGGCCATCCCAGGATGAGGAGACCATCTCGAAGCACCTGGTGACTAGTGACTAGTTATTAGTTTAATTAGGGCTGTTGGTGACAACTCTCGCCACCTTGATATTTACTTGTACCATCGTACTCATTCTTGAAGTCAGCACAAACATCATGACCCCAGCTGTTTGAACCATTGCTCAACATCAGAAGGGTAGTCCTTACTGTCGTCGCTGCCATCGATCCCATGGCCATCACACCATCACTGGCTGCTAGTTTTCCAAGAGGTTCAGCTGGACTAGACATATATGTATATAGATTCACATACATACATACACACATAATGTATGTACATATTCTCATATATATATACATATATATATAAAGAGAGAGAGAGAGAGAGAGAGAGAGAGAGAGTCTAGCAGGCCATCTAACAATTCCGCTAGAAGGTCCGGAGCGAAGGGTTGATCCTCAACTGATAAGCCCCAAAAAGGCCGAACCCAAGGCCCCAAAGGCGCCGAAGTGCAGCATGCCTGTTCGTGTTGCTCTCTATACAGGGAACTCCAGAAAGTTGGAATATGGTTTCATGGTAGGATACCCTGTAATTTACCATAGAAGGGTTAGGATAATCATATTCCAACTTTCTGGCTTCTACTGTATTAGCATCCCTTTTAGGTCCCCAATCTGGTACGGCAACCTTTTGTACAGAACGGCAAAGAACGCAGATATGGACCCTAATGTCGAGGACTACCTATTCTCATCAACCAACCAATAGTATGGGTGAGTTCGCATGTGGCAGCAACTCAGCGTTTGAGTTACTGCCGTGTGAAACTTCCCTTGCCCGGAAGGAGTTGCAAGGAGGGGTTCGCATCTCGGCAGAGATGGGCATGCATGAGTTTCTGAGACGAAAAGCATCGCCAGTGCCAGGGGCAGTTTCCCAGGCTTCGTATCATTCCTCACACTCCCCCCCTCCGCATGAGGAATCGCTTGCTTGAGTTTTGATCCGAATGCCCCGCCTCCCAACATCCGCTTGCTGGTCCATCCGTCAAAGGCAACGAGTTTATCAACATGATGGAAGAGGAGGGGAACCGGAAGGATGCGGACAAATTGGAGAAGGAGCTGAAGACGAACGGCTTCGCGGAGACTCGACTCTTCCATTTGGGGCCGGATTGACCTGCAATCAAAACCCAGGTCAGAAGCTTTATCGTGGCCATGATCAGATCAAGTCTACGCTTGTTGTTGACACGAGACACCAAAGGGGAGTTAAAGTCGGGGGGAACTACCCGAAAGTTTGCGATGTTCTGCTGGCATCGACGCACACTCTGACTCTTTTGCGGTGGCACGGTCAAGAGCATTCCCCATCCCTGCTGAAGCTATGGCTGTAGGACTACAAGGGCAGATCTCCACGATGTTTATGATTCTTCAGTCGCGATTTGTCTTCATTGACAGAGCTGCTCTCTATGCTCCAAACCCCTAAACCTAGAGCAAAGGAAGTCTTGGAGAAGTTGGTGAAGCTCCGGTCCGATATCGAGAACGAAGTGCATCAGTTCATCGCGAGCGCAACGAACATTCGCTCCCTGGGCAAGAGTGCATCGGTTTCCCGTAGGGTAGGCTTGTGAGGCTCTTTGAGACAGCCCGAAGGCTGGGGGACTTGGGATTGGGGCGTCCTTTCGTGCTTGCTTTGTTGGTGCCCTGTGTGTGTGTGTGTTGTGCCAGACTTCAGCCTTTGCGGAAGCGCCGCTATGTTCGGGGATTTGTGGCCCAATCCTGAAAGAGCTAGTTGTGGCAAGTTAGCTGCGGGTCTATGCAATACCAGTTTGTATTCTCGCAGTTTAACCATGATTTCTGTTCTTCTGTTGATGGTATAAATCCTGCATTACCTTGCGGACCCTAAACTATGGGAATTATGGTGTATCCCTTATGGGTCATGCAGGATTTATATCATCCACCGTTCAACATCGAAAGATCAGTTTTGGTTACCGACCACTAGTCGCTTCAATGAACTCACATAACCTGCTCCCGACCTGCAGCAACATCGCCGACGACCTTGGTCTTTTTTTGCTCCTTCCCGGTAATTTGAATGGCACTAATCTGACACTACCGTGAGGCCGAAGTGGCAAGCAGTAGCCATGTCAGAGTTCCTCACATGAAGGCTACGACATCTGCAAAATTTTGCACATGGCCACGATGTTGGGTGAAGATTCGGTGCGTGGCAAGATGGAGATGGAAGAGTTCAAGATAGGCTTCCAGGAGCACACTCGCACAGCATTGAGAGCGCATGCTGCCATTGCAGTTTTCACCACCGCCAGTAGGGGAGAGACAAGAGACTTCTGCGATTGCTTTCCAGTGAATGCTGTTTGCAGCCTTGCCGAAAGCCCCATTCTCTCCTCACCCTTGCATGTGGTCGGCTCCTTTGCACTATTTCTGACCGCCCAAGTCGTGAAGTAGCAGCAGGACGAAACCACAACCGTGCAGAGGCCGCACTTTGCTCTAGTGAAGTCATTGAGGTCTTCTTTTCTGATCACAGGAGCCCTCGCTCATGCACCATTCTGCTTGGTATGGTAAATGCTTGAAACAGATACATAATTATCAAGTGGTCAGCCGAGGCTTTGAGAATAGGGGGCTTGACGTGCTTGACTACTCTGTTTCAGTTTCAGATGTCCGTTGTCGGCACTCTAGACACTCGTTTTGCAGCCTCTCCTGTGCCGGAATTGCTTGTGCAGGTTGCGATTCCTCATGGACAAGGACATCAAATCCTTTGATGCCACCGCAGCCAAGATATTGCTGCATTTGGATGAGGAGTGTCCGGGTCGCATACCTGCCTTCCTGTGCTTGGCACAGTTTGCGGCTAGTTGTCCTCCGGACTCCTCCCGCTTCCGAAAGCTGCAGGTTTCTCTGCACGCGTGTGGGCGATAGAGATCTGGGGAGTTTGACAATTTTACGAAACCTGCTCGTCCAGTGGTAGTACCGCACTGAACAAGGGTATCCTCCAAGACTTCCACTATAATGTACTTCGTGTGCGAGCGCCAATCAGAGCTGAACTGAGGGTCTACCCCTTCCTGAACAACTTGAACGGCAACCACCACACGAAAGGGTTGGTGACAGTTCTGATGCCACAAATCACCAAAGACATGGACAAGCTCGCATCAGCTGCTCGGATGTCAGTTAAATTCGACGAAGCTTCACGGCATTTTGGAACTGCGTCATCGCATGCGAAGCGTGCGCCAATGCCACCTTTTCCCGATAGCTACAGAGTTCAATGCAGCTGTCATGCGCACGCAGTGTGAAAGTTTCAAACCCTACCAATCCCAACAATCTGCCCAAAGAGCCATGCTACGCTACGGTAGAGGCTGCGGCTACGTAGCTCTAAATTCCGATGTCAACCTGGTGGTTCCGGCTGAGGTCCTCAGACATGTCAAAGCCTTGCTGCCGCAGCTTCTGGGAAAGTTGTCCACCCCATCGCTATTGGGTCCCCCGGCTCGCAGTGATGCAGGGTTTCGGGTTTGGGTTAAGAGTAGCAGAATGGGAGATACTGGGTCGAGAGCTTTGTGTTGCAAGAAGTGACAGAATTCTGATCCGGCAACCTGCACACTAAACGCTGAATCCCCGATAAACCAAACCTTTTATGTTTTGCCAGGCTCTAGCCGGAACGTTTAGGGTACAGGGCTAAACCCCGAACCCTGAACCGTCGAGTCCGTCGTCACACACCCTCGGAGGACAAGGTGAAGCTACACATCTCATCCGAAATAGTCACTAGATACCCCGATAGCTGTGAGATAGGTAACCAAGACAATTAAGCAGCCTTCAGAACAAGCTCTCGCTGAATAAGGCTATGACTGCCGGGCGTTCGGACTCTCGCCTGTCCATTTGTGCCTGGCAGCGCGATCGCTGTCATCAGGTAAGGTTGAGTGTGGGGGCTGTTTTCTAATCGACAATGAGGCCCAGCCCGTAGAAAAAGGCACCACGCTCCCTATGGCCCCTTTGCTGATATTGCATGTGTCAAAAGCCCGAGCCCTTCAGGGTTTTCCGGTGTAGTTTCAAGACGGCGGAGCTCCTTTGTCTTTTGGGGGCCTGCAGCAGCGTATTCCCTTGACTCTTGTCACTATGCACTTCGAAAAGCTTGTTAATCTTCCTGGGAAGGCCACTTGCGGTATCGAGCAAGGGAGACATGCTGTTTAGACCCGCTCCGATCGGATGTTTGTCGGCCCTCTCGGTGTTGTGCTTGAAGGTATACAGGCCATAGGATGAGCGCCGTGCGGCATTGTGTCCAGAACGACATATGTATTCACGAAACGGAAACGACTACATCCTCCAGACCTTGCACTGGCTTTGCGGCCCTTGTAACAATGAAGAGCCTCTTCGGCAGGGGCCCCAACTCCACCTGACCATCTGCGAGTGCCGGTGAAGAGGAATCCGATTTGAGCTACAACCGTTCCACCACACCCAAGTGACCCGACGACCATTTAAACCCTCAGCCCCATGCCCCGACATCCTACTGCGTCCTTTTCCTCTGACGAGGCTTTAAACTTTTCCCTAAACCCCGTAAGATAAATCTGTGCACTGGGAGCCCTAAACCACTTGAACCCCAAAGCCTTCCCCGGAGCCCTCACCTTTGAGATCCTTTGAGCTCTGGTGCGCTCAGGCCTCCTTTTCACGAGGCCAGGCGCAGTTGGGAGAGTCAATACAGTCGCCACTACAGCGGCCTAAATAAGTACCGACACCATTTAGGGGGCTTGGTCAGGTCTTTTTCCTGATGATGAGTGTAGGGGCAGCGGGGTGATATTGTTGTCATGATGGCCAAGACCGCGGTTATCAAGGTGTGTCTCCGTGCTCGTTTCTTTTAAAAAACATCTGGTCTGGCCGGACATGTTGAATCTCTCAGTTGAAACGGCTCCTGATGTTAGAAGTGTGTTTGGTGCTGCTGCTGTTGTTTCTGCAGCAACTACTGTTGCTGCTCAGCTGTTCTTGTGGTTTCTGGCTGCTGGTGGTTGCAATTGTGTTGCTGTTTCTAGCTGCTTAGGGTTTAGGGTTTCCTAAACCCTCAACCTCAACAGCATGTGGTTGTGGTTGTTGTTGTTGCTGCTGCTGCTGCTGCTGCTGTTGTTGTTGCTGTGTGGCAGTTGCGCTTGGTGGCTGATGTCGTTTTGTTCTTGTTGGTTCCTTTCTGTTGGCTACTGCAGGGCGTAGGGGCCTAATTAGTTGCCAATACTATTTGGTAGTCCTTATCATAATTTTAGTAGAATGGGCTCCAAAACCCTATTCTAATTATTACGGACCTTACATTACGGGCTGCTGTGTTGCTGAGTGCCGGGGTCAGGTCTGGGCTCGACAGGTGTCCGAGGTCTATGTGGGATTCGTTAGACAGCTCCGAAGGGCTGGCAAGCTGTGCATCAGAGCTCTTGATGTGAAGTAAGAAGAACTCCCATGTGGTTTCTTCCTGCTCCCTGGCCCGCTGGAAAAATTTTGAGACCCAGGTTTTCGCAGCACAGGAGTGCAGACATGCAGGACCTGGGGGCTTGGCTGCTGTGGGGATGTCTCTAAGAGCCAGGCTTTGCGTTGTTGTTGTTGTTGTTGTTGTTGTTGTTGTTGTTGTTGTTGTTGTGGTACGCCTCTCGGCTCAGGAAAGGTCAGGCTAGTACAGTTGCCTTATTCCTTTCTTGCCATGGCATTTGTCAGCGCCTGAGCAGTCCCGGTCCCAAGTCCGGGAGGGAGTATTAGATTTACAGCTCTCTAACATCTCCCAGAGGTGAGGGTTGTCGGTATTGCGAAGCCGACAGGAGCCGTACTCAACATGAGTGCTGCGAAACAGCCTAGTGGTTCGACCAAGCATCAGCCCGTTCCTAAAGGGAAGGGTAAACGCTCTTATCAAAGGGCAGCACGTAAAGCTCTGCTTGAAGGTAGTGCGGTCTACAAGGGAAGGACGATGTCGTCAACAGAGCTTGGAGTTGCTCCGGCACATGTAAAGCCCACCAATCCCGGCAGAAGGACTCGGCCTTCGAAATTTACAGAAGATAAGAATCTCAGCTATCTATCCTGGAACGCAGGATCTCTCACAACAGCAGTTTGGGAAGAGTTACTCTCCGTACTGCAAAGTGCCGCATTTCAGGATGTGAAGCTAGTAGCAATTCAGGAAACACACTGGAGGGGCTCTTGGCAATTCAGCAAGTCAGGCTGGCACGTGATCAGCTCTGGTTCCACAGGGGAGAAGGGAGCCGGGGTCCTCATAATGGTGCACTCCACGCTGTGCAAGTCACAGGATCTTCGCTACAACGAGGTTGTTCCAGGAAGAGTTCTCCAGGTCCGGGTGCCGAGCAACGGCATCTCACTGGACGTCTTCAGCTGCTATCAACACGTTTGGCGCTCTAAGGAGACAGTCGCTCAGAATAATGAAACCCGGAAGCTGACCCTTCACGCCCTAAGTAAGTCCATCCGAGCTGTTCCCAATCGCAACACTCTCCTTGTGCTAGGAGATTTTAACTCCTCGCTCAAAACCGACAACAAACACGTAGGGCCATGCACGATCCAGGCTTGCAGACTCGGGCATCGCGGATCTAAGGATCTCCAGACCCTACTGTCGGAGCACCAGCTAGTCGCAACCAACACTTGGGGAGTGCATAGACCAGCCACCCACGTACAAGGCAACTCTGTTTCACAGATTGACTTCTCGTTTGTCAGGATTGCACAGTCCCAGGGCCCCGCCAGGTTTTGCCGGCCACTAAGGACCTTCCCAGTTGCATCCTGGAGGGATGGTAGCAGGCATTTCCCCCTTCTTGGTAAACTGAGGCACAGCAGGAGATACTCCGCCCAAGCCTCAAAACTCTATGACCAGCAGGCAATGGAGGATTGCTACAGACACCGTTCCCCGAAAATACAGGCATTTGCCAGGGAGGTAGACTCCCTCCTTCAGGATCATCCCCAAACCTGGCAGAGTCTCCATCAAGCAATGAACTCAGCTCTAGCGACTCACTTTCCCAAGAGAAAGGAAGCAGCACAAAGATCAGATCTCAGCATCTGGGAAGAGCGCTCTGTGTTGCACTCACTCCCATCAGCAGTCAAGGTCTTAGCAGAGTTCTTGCCCGAGCTGCAGGTCCGTATGGTGTTCCGATGCTGGTGTTCGTTCTCCCAGCAAAGTGCACAGGCGAGGGTAGCAAAGCGTCACAAGCAGGAGCGGCGGCGGCAGGAAATAGATGAACAACTCGAGCAGGCAGAGCTTAAGTCCAAACAGGACGGGAGTCATTCCCTTTACAAGGTAATCAAGCGCTTCAGGTCGGGGAGGCCCCAGGAAAGAGTTCAGCTTCGTGATTCTGAGGGTCGTTTCCTTACTGCCAAGGAAGAAAGAAGACAATTAGAGGAATATTCCCTAGACCTGTCTGGAGCAGGGGATGACTTCCCGCTTTCAGGGATACAAGGCAGCCTGCACATCACTGAGCACGAAGTGCAAGAACAACTTGGCACAATAAAGCTTGGCAAGGCAGTTCCTAAAGAGAGTCCTCCCTTAGTAGCCTGGCGCTCCCTAGGTCCCCAAGCAATCCGGCTAATCTCGGACACCCTTAATAGGGAAGTCACTGCAGGAAGGCTCTCGGACAGTGTCACCTCGTCACAGATCTCTTGGCTCCCAAAGCCTCCCAAGAAGCCAGACAAACCAACCTCACTCCGTCCGATCGGGGTGATAGCGCCTGAGGGTAAGGTCCTAGCCGGACTCGTGAGGAAGAGACTCAAGTCTACCCTCCAGCAAGCAATGACCGGCGTCTCTCAGTTCGGCTTCGTCCCAGGCAGGGGCACAGAGGAGGCTATCTGCAAGGCCCTCACACATGTGGACCAGGCCAGGTTCAGACAGGCCCTCACCACTAGGGCTGCAGGTAAGGGACAACAGGGGCTCAAGCTCAGAGGCAGTCTCACCATGAGCGTGGACATGA